GGTTATAGGCAGCAAGTGAAGCAATGGCCTCTTAATCCGTTGGATGTTGTTATACAGACTATCAAAAGAATGTAAGTATTCTTGATCAAAAGTTATTTGCAGTTTTTTTTATCAAGGGTGAAATATCAACGTGGTATATCGTGATGACATATGTCATAATTGTTTGATGCTGACCTAAAATCGTGCTCAGCAATCCTTATCCAATTTGACTGCAGCCTAATTTCATTTTATTGTCCCATTTTAATCTCTCCTCGTAAATAATTCTAAGCAAAAAGTCTAAACAACAGTTGTTGGGCTTCAAAGGGCAAAATGATGGTGACTTTGACCATGACCTTGACAGCGACCTCCAAAGACATTTCAAGGTCAATCGAATGTTTTCAGATAGAGCTTCCCTTTTTTACACTGGAATAGGGAATATGCATGTCATTCAAATAGCGCTAATTTATTTTTATTTACAGTCTATATTGCTACAGAAAGCCACCTCAACCGTATTTTATACTTACATAATATTTGCTAAATTTACAATATGAAAACCCTTCAAAACTAGACAGCAAATCATGATAGCAAATTAACAAAACATGAAATAAAATGGCAAACTATGAGATGTGACGTCACCGAGAGAAACTACAAATGCGGCGTTTAAATCGACGGCATTGACGTTTTACATTTGATTTAAAAAACTACAGCATTTTCGAGAATGAACTATATCTTTTCGGTATTAAATTAATGTAAATAATCCTTTAGAAAATACAACAAAAAACATGCGTATTCTCTATTAGAAACAGGGGAAACATTGTGGTGATTTTCAGAATGATCTTGAAAATCACTGGCAAAACTTTACAAATTTGAATATAAAATTACAAAATCAAGGGGTTGCCTTACAAATAACTTTTAAGATTGACATTACCTTGACATTGAGGTCAAGGTCACATTCGGACGTAACTTCCTATTTTTCCCAATCCTGGCAAAAAAACGAGGGGTTTCTTTTGACTTGACGTTGTAGGTCATGGTCAAGGTTATCTTTGAGTGACCATCCGCAACTGTGCTGTGACCATTTTTGATAGATAGAGCAAATTATTTTCAATGTCATTACTTGAGCTTGAAATGGCCATGAAGGTTACGATCAAGGTCAAATTCTTAATTTCAAATTCCGGTGTAAAAAGGTGGTTCCATTGAAAATATTAATTTGTCCTTGAAATGGTGTTGGTAAAGATCATGGTCTAGGTCACCATCATTTTTCCCCTCGAAATTATTAGAAACTTGTTTTTGTAGGAAGCGTTGTTTTCGAAATATTCAGGTGGATAGATTAGAATGAGACACCATGTATTACGCATTCTTATTTCATATTTGTTTAACGCAGGCCAAAGTCACTAGTGGTAGCGGATTTCGGATGCGGCGAAGGTCGGTTAGCGAAGTCGGTGCCCCAACGTACCTTCTCCTTTGACTTGGTGGCGTTGGCAGATCACGTGACACCCTGTGACATGGCACATGTGCCTTTGCACGAAACCTGCATCGACGTCGCCGTTTTCTGCCTTTCGCTTATGAGCACCAACTTGGGTGATTACCTCCTTGAAGCCAATCGGGTTCTAGTCGTCGGGTAAGTTACAATCAGCTTTTTTGTTCTTGCGACTGTGACAAAATCCACGGTACTTTCCGAGTTATAGAGAGCAGCGTTGCGACGAATTAAATCAAATGATATAAATTTAAATTAAATACATTGCTGACGCAAAAAACTGAAATGACTGTCAGGAAATTCAAAAAAAAGGAAGAGAGATAGTTTATTTAAAACTAATACATACACTACCGCTCAAAAGTTTTGGGACAGCAGATTTTTTGAGGGAAATCAAACAATAGAGTGTGTTTAATCAAAAAAATAAGAATGGAACTATTTTCTACTGGAAGTCAGTTAGTTGGTAACTTATTTCTATCAAAATTTACTTTAAATTCGCGATTCATCGAAATGTCCACCACGAGCCCGATTAACTGCATGACAGACACGACTCATCCGACGTATCAAAGAAGAATAGTTAGTGATACGGATACCCACGCTTCCTGTACTAGTAGGCTCTTGTTGCTTCACCTTTATGTCCAATGCATCCCACTAATATTCAATAATAATCTGGGGACTGGGAAGGCCATGTCGTGATTTTCATTGCACCAAGTTCTTGTTGCTGGTCCATAGTCGAGATGAATGCTCAGGGTCGTTATCTTGTCTGCTTCTTTTAATGTCATAAATTGTAGATCGGCCTACGCCGTATTCACTACTGAAAGTTTCATTGCGATTTAAGCGGTCTAAAATATCACATTTTTCTTTAATTGTCAATGTTTTGTGCTTTCGCTTCTGAGTTTGTGATTACATTACTAGGCACTATACTTAATACACAATGAATAAATAGTAAACAATGAACGCACGCTAGGCCGTAGCGCTATCACAAGTAGTCAAATTCAAACTAAGTAAAATAATGCTTACGCGTCGAGCACGATAGCGGTGGCGCCTACAAGTTGTAACCTTTTCAAACCTGCGTGATCTACATTAGCGAAGATTGTCAAATACGTATGTATGTAATATTCAAAGACATGTCGGATTACAGGGGGCGCCGGATTATCGGGGGTCCACTGTATAGGTCGCAGGAGTGGTTTGCATGCTGCTATACATCCTCTAGGGTTAGCCCTTTGTGAACCGCGTTTTACCGAGGACATACGACACAGGGTTTTCCCTCGTTCTGTTCACGCTGTGTGTGAGTTCAGGCGAAGTTAAATGTCCATTTTCGCTTATTTGTTATTACTATAAACCTATCTTCAGGAACAGGTGTAACTTTGCGTCTTCTAGAGCGTGGACGATCTACGACACTGCCTGTTTCTCTCTTTTTCTTCAAAATTTGAGATGCAGTGTTACGTCCCAAATGCAGATTTTCAGCAATCGCTCGAATTGGCAATCCCTCATCACCTAAGGTACATACTGCACCCCGTTTTTCAAGAGAAACGTTACCCGTCTTTACCATTTTCCATTATTTTGTAAAAATCTGACCCTAGCACATCGACTAGAAGTTTATACTATACTACGTACAATTTTTACTTTGTTTCATTGATACCCAGAATGTTTATGTATTACATTACGCCGACCATAATACATAGCACAAAAAAATTAAGCAGCGGAAGGAAATCGGCCGATTTATGACTGCAATGAACTAATAAAAATATCGGCGTCTCTAAAGGTGTTTACATTTATTCCCCTTTAAGCGGTATTTCACTGATTCTTATACATCTTTAGCTTAGGCAGTCGTATTATAGATGGTAATAATCAATCAATGTCATATAAGCCTTATTTATTTTAAGTTCTTTTAAAAAAAGTTTCTGTCCAAAAATATTTGAGCGGTAGTGTACATGCATTATGTAAGTTTAAAAATATGACTAGTTCTCATCAGGTCCAATGCAAATATCCATAAGTTACGACTTGGCTTTCAAAGCCACTTAAACTTCCAGATTTCTTCAGTTCACTCTTGCAGCGTCGATTCTGGTAATAGATGGCATTTGTCAAATCGCATTTGGATAGACCTTTACTTTGCTCTGCCTTCGTTTGTTGTCCTAATAGTCCGAGCCTAGACTATGCTGATGATTGCCAATAAGCATGAAGCAGCTGCACACGACTGGCCCTTGGTTGTCTGGGTTGATGGGAGCAGCAAAAATGGCGAAAGTTACGTACAATTTTCGGTCGCACTAGTGCGCCAAATGAGTCGACAGTTCGCCGTTTAATTACAAAATTCTGGACAAAATTCACGTTGGTGAATGTGAAGATCACTGTTCGTCGCCGACCTGGTCGGTTCCTGGCAAAATATAGCCGCAGTGCGGAAAAGTATGGCCGAGAATCCAGGCACTTCCATTCGGCATCGTGGCCAAGATTTGAACCTCACCAGACCCACTCTGCAACGAATTTTGACAAAAGATCTGCGCTTGCATGCGTACGAGGTTCAACTGACGCAAGAACTCTAGCTAACGGACCACAAACAGTTGAGCGCCTTAAAGAAGAGCTACGGCGCGTGATCGACGAAATAGAGCTACAGTTGTGCGAAAACGTTATCCAGAATTTTAAGAAAAGACTGACCCTGTGCCAGAGGTTTCGTGGTGGCCATTTACCGGATGTCCTATTTCATGTTTAATCGCAACTATTCCTCTTCAGGTTGAAATATAATTACTCGCTTAATTCGAAAAGAAATTGTGTTTTTCTTAAAAATCAAATCCGACGCTCTTATTCATAGACCGTACCTCATGAATAGAGGATAGTTATGATGATAGTTTATTAGAAATAAAACTATATCATATAGACACCCTACTAACTTATGGTTAAATTTATTTTTCCAGTGGAACACTGAAAATCGTAGAAGTTGTCAGTCGATTCGAGAGGCCCGAGGATTTCATCAAAGCTGTTCAATATTTCGGCTTCAAACTGATGTGGAAGGATCTCACTCATGACTACTTCTATTTTATGGACTTCAAAAAGATCACAATATTAAGGATAAGACCAAATTGCCGCAGTTCAAACTACACCTACAGCCTTGTATGTACAAGAAGAGATAGCTTGTAACATAGTACGCATTTCAATAAAGTTTTTGTTTATATGGCGCGATATTATTTGTGATATGAATCTGTTATCCTGATTTTATTGATTAAATAAATATGCACAGTTTATTTAACACAATGGGAGTGATTTACCTGCAAAGTGCTCATTTGATGCAGCTGCTCCATATTTATTTCAGAAAAATATTTTGATCTGCATGTTGCAATGCCCAAAATTGTGTCAAACATTTTTTTATTCAGGTTATGTAAAACACCCAATCAGAATATTTTTCCGAGCAGTTGTAAAAAAGACACCTATTTGTTTTTTTTTTTGGGGCTCTTCTAGTGGCAACTCTGTATTCTTTCATAAAACTACTCTTTGGTTTGACTATTCAGCGAACGAATCGCTTGGTGCTAAAATTGGGGTAAGTACAATGAAAGTCAGATTGTATTTATTTTTTCATTTTATTGAAAAAAATCACTATCATCGAGCACAGACGAGCAACCCGATAAAAACTTACAATAAATAAAAGTTCGACTTCCTTGTCGGTGCTGAATGACTTAATAAATTAATTTACCTTTAAGGCAAAAATAATACAAAACAACAGTTGTACGGAAAGACGTTCAACGAAATGGAAATCACGCGCACATGCACAATCACACACATCCATCATTTAATCAGTTTGTTTCAGTCTTTTATTGCCTAGAGATCACCTCACAACTCGTCCTTCAACTCGTCGTCTTCACTGCTGCCGCCAGACGGTGGTGGGGCACCTCCAGCTCCTGAAAATAACGAAAAAGCATTGAACACAATACCAACAAAAAAAATTCATATTATGATCAAATGGTATCACAGAAGATGCCTCTGGTAGCCACATAAACATGAGAAGATGATATCACCTAATGAGGAATTCAGACGCACTGAAAACAGTCTTCCCAAACCATCAACTTCTAGCTGTGTGACTGTTTTTTAATCGCTGGTTTAGCTTCAAGTTACGTAACTTACACTCAGATTTATAATATTTCCTTGAGGCTTTCTTGGAAACAATGGATCTTTCCTTGGAAATAGTGGAACAATGACGCTTCCTCGAGGAACGTTCAATTCACAAGAGGTCTCATCACAAACTGTTATCGATGTCAGAAATATTGTTCTTTGCTGATCGAATCTATTTAACATTTTGATGATAAAATGGGCAGCTGAAGAACGACATTCTAGTAACCATTCAAAATCTTTGTCGGAAAAGCTCTTTAAAGTAATCAAAGAAGAAATGAAGTTTCAGGTTTGTGCAGATTAGAGCTTTATGTGATATTAATCAGTTATATATCAGGTTTTCCAATAAGGACTTGACAACTTTGAACTTTCTCTGTGAACGCACCTTTAAACCAATTACCGAACTGTCAATGACAAAACATTTTCATCATGGTGAAGTACACGAACTAACAACGCTTACAAATAATCAAAATTTACAACCGAAATTCCGAGTCGGTGACTGCAACTTTAAGAGCGTTAACGCCAATTTTAGGACGTAATTCTCGTGCCAGTTTAGAAGCAATTCATAGTCTAGTAAAAAAAATTGAGTCCACACATTCGCTGCTGGATGTTCCCGTGCCAATAAGACAACGGGTTGGTCGAAGGGCCGAGAATATTGCTGCCGTTCAAGATTCTGTCGCAAAAGAACAGAACAACTAAAGCCGTTCGATCATATGAACCGACTTACGTTCTCGAATTGGGCTCTAGAAACGTTGCGTTTGATCGCAAAATCATCTTCAGTGATGAGGCGCCTTTTTGGTTAAACGGCTTCGTCCACAAGCAGAATATGCGTTATTGGTCCGGTGAAAACTCTCTTGTGCTCCAAGAGACACCACTTCATCCACAAAAAATAACTGAATGGTGTGGTTTTCATGCCGGTGATGTCATTGAGTCGTTTTCTTCGTTGAAAATGACCGCCACGTCACAGTCAAAGGAGATCGCTACAGAGACATGTTGCAACCTTACTTTTTTGGTCAATTGAATGGGCTAGACATTAACGATATGTAGTTTGAACAAGACAGTGGTACAAGCCACACAGCGGGTGAAACAATCGACATATTGAAATCAAAATTCGGTGAACGTGAAATAATAAAATTTTCGAGATATCTCAAATGGTTTGCGTTTTAATTAAAAGGAAAGTTGTCAAGTCCTTTATTATATTTTGATCACCCTGTATCAATAGGAAGCATCTCTGTATTACTGAATGATTTTTTTATACAGAATCAGCCGCGTACTGAAATCTATGCCACTTATGGTAGCTTGAAATCAATATAATAAAAAAAATGTAATCATATACTCGAGAGACTACTCACCTTGGTACAGTTTGGCAATGATGGGCTGCACAATATCTTCCAGCTCCTTCTTCTGTTTCTTGTACTCTTCCGCCTCCGTATCCTGGTTGTCTTCCAGCCACTTAATCTTCTCGTCAATCGCCTCCTCCATCTTGGTTTTTTCGTCATCTGACAGTTTGGCTCCAAGCTTGTCCTTGTCACTGAGCTGGTTCTTGAGAGAGTAAGCGTAGCTTTCGAGTTCGTTCCTCGCTTCGACGCGTTCTTTCAGTTTCTTGTCCTCGTCGGCGAACTTCTCGGCATCCCTGATCATCCTGTCAATGTCATCGGGGGTCAGGCGGTTCTGGTCGTTGGTGATCACGATCTTTTCCCTGTTGCCAGTACCTGAAAGAAAAAACATTTACATGACAAACACAACCTTGAAAAAACACAGTATACAAACGAGCTAATGAACATGACGCTATTTCGACTTCATATGGAGCAAAAACGAATGACTTAAAAAAGGTTAGCTATTGAATTGGACGGTATTTTTTGTTGGACAAGGCATGAAACTACACCATATTCCTGCATCCCAAGCAGTGACAACCTTCAAGAGAAAGTTAATTTGGTCGAAAACTGAAATTTTGATCAAACGCTCTATGAGGTAAATGTATTAGAATCTCCCTAACCCGTAACTGAAGGTCTTGATGCCGCAAAAATTCAAATTACCTTTGTCTTCAGCCGACACCTGCAGGATACCGTTGGCATCAATTTCGAACGTAACCTCGATCTGGGGCACTCCTCTGGGCGCTGGTGGGATTCCTGTCAGATCAAACTTGCCGAGCAGATGATTGTCCTTGGTCATGGGTCTCTCGCCTTCGTATACTTGGATGGTGACTGTGTGCTGATTGTCAGACGCGGTGGAGAAGATCTGGGATTTTTTCGTGGGGATGACGGTGTTTCTTGGGATCAGCTTGGTCATCACACCTGCAAGGACGAAATGCATCCATTGAACACGCAATTTTTACACTAATAATCTCTTATTTAGTATTTGATTGGAACATCAGTGTCATTAACATTATTTATTGAAGATCGGTTTTCTCGAAAAAGTTATCATAAGCAGTAAATTATAACAGCAAGAATGTCTTGAAAGGGACTTAAATTTAGTTCCATTTTCCAACGACTCACACATTTTATATTGCGCATGTGTCATCCACAGACTCGGGAATTTAATTATGGATCGGTTTACGACTGAGGAACGCATCAAAATTATGGAAACCTACTAGGAAAGCTCGCTCATTTTTTTCAGGAAAATTACGATAGTTAGACGGTAATTGTTAATGACGAGCGTTATCACAAGTATACTTTTCGCGACTCCATTTGGATAATATGCACCTCAACAATAGTGTTTTTTGTGCAATGAAAATAACGAATCGTTAAGCCGTCTGTTATGTTATTTTTGACAGCAACAGCTAATAACTACGGTCAGAGAAACAAGAGTTTTTATAACCACTAAAATGAACCGAAGTAATTTGACAATATCGACTACTGTCAATCATGTCATATAACTTATTTTTTTATTTTTATGTGAGGTCAACACAAAATTTCAGGATTTAGTATAAAATTTTCATGAAAATGTTTCGGTAATATACTGTAATGGACAAAAGTATATAGACAAATTAATTTTGTGCTGTATTTCTTTATTAACTTGTTTTATTAATACACCAACCTCAAACCTTGTCTACTCTAAGACAATAACAACGATGTTGTTGATGAAACTACCCACAGCCTTTGAAAAATAGTTCATATGAAGATTTGCTACTTACCTCCAACAGTTTCAATACCAAGGGTCAGTGGGTTGACATCAAGCAGCACAATAGCATCAGTATCTTGCTCTCCGGACAGGACTCCAGCTTGCACGGCAGCTCCATACGCCACAGCTTCATCAGGGTTGATACCCCGGGAAGGTTCCTTGCCACTGAAGAAGTCTTTCACCAACTGCTGGATCTTGGGGATACGCGTGGACCCACCGACCAATACGATCTCATCGATGTCTTTTTTGTTCATGTCGGCATCTTCGAGTACCTTCTGCACGGGTTTCAGCGTGGATCGGAACAGGTCCATGTTAAGCTCCTCGAACTTGGCTCTGGTCAACGTTTCTGAGAAGTCCTCACCATCGAAGAATGATTCGATCTCGATCCTAACTTGGTGGCTGGCGGACAATGCTCTCTTTGCTTTTTCGACTTCCCTCCTCAGTTTCTGTACAGCTCTGAAATAAAGTGGTTTTATTAATTGCCGTTGATATGGAATGATTTGATTTGCACGAGGGTGGTCCCAGAAGTACCCGGCCTGACCTAGAGATGGCGAAGGTTGTTTGAAAAATATCATTGTATTAGAAAGTATGCAACCTATAAAGCATATGTGTCAAGTTTGAAGACGCCACGTTGTTTAGTATTTGTGTGGCAGCCATCAATACTGAACGTTTTCAGTGCATTTGTGAAAATGGAAAAAATTGGTCATCGTTATGTGGTACAATACTTTTATTTCAAAGGCCTCAGCCCAACCAATATAAAAGCTGAACTGGATTCTACTCTGGGTGAGTCTGCTCCTTCGTTTACAACAGTAAAATATTGGGTAGCAGAGTTTAAACGAGGCCGTATGAGCTGCCAAGATGAGCATCGCAGTGGTCGACCACATGAGGTGACGATTGCAGAAATGGTGAAGAAAATTCACAAAGCGGTACTGAATGATCATCGAGTGAAAGTGCGCGAGCTAGCAGACATAGTAGGCATTTCAAAAAGTGCGGTTCATCGTATATTATCTGAAAATTTGGACATGAGAAAGCTGTGTGCAAGATGGGTGCCGCGATTGCTTACAATCGACCAAAAACAGTGTCATGAAGATGTTTCAATGGAGTGTTTAGCGAAGTTTCATAGCAACAAAGCAGAATTTTTGCGTCCTTTCATAACAATGGATGAAACACCATCACTTCACACCCGAGACGAAAGAACAATCAAAACAATGGACTCAAAAGGGACAACCGGCTCCAAGGTAGGCGAAGACCGTTTCATCTGCAGGCAAGGTTATGGCGTCGGTTTTTTGGGATGCGCGTGGGATAATTTTCATTGACTATCTTGAAAAAAGTAAAACTATCAACGGCGAGTATTTTATGCGAACTTATTGCAACGTTTGAGCGATGAAATCAGGCAAAAACGGCCGCATTTGGTTAAGAAGAAAGTGTTGTTTCACCAAGACAATGCACCAGCTCACAAATCCGTCATTGCAATGGCCAAAATTAACGAATTAAAGTTTGAATTGCTACTTCTTGCACCATATTCACCAGATTTAGCCCCCTTGGATTATTTTCTGTTTCCAAACTTGAAAACATGGCTCACTGGTCAAAGATTTTCCAACGATGAAGAAGTGATGTTGGCGGTTAATGGCTATTTTGAGGAGCAAGACAGTTATTATAAAAAGGGTATCGAACTTATTGAACATTGCTGGAAAAAGTGTATAGAGCTCAAAGGAGATTATGTTGAAAAATAAATACATTTTTTACAAAAAATTTGTGTTTTCTTCGTTGGGTCGGGTGCTTTTGGGACCACCCTCGTAGTTTCATAATTATTTCCACCAGAAAAAGTAACAGAAAAACCTGAACATTTTATCACTTGTTGAAGGTGTTTATTTTTTTTTGTCATTCAATATATTTTAAACGAAGCTTTCTCAAAGAACGTTCAAGGCAGGATTTAACATTTGCCTTCCACGGTAGGCTGTAGCAGTTGTCAACACAGGTGTACAAAACATTCAAATTTTCCAAAATTTGCGGGATTTTCGAAATTTTCAAAACTACCAGATTTTGCAAAGTGGCAAGGTTTTAAGATTTTCAATTTTTGACATTTTCAATATTTTGAAACTTCTGTATGCTCTAAAAGTCTTGAGAATCTTATAAACTCAGGCAATTTTAAAATTTTGATTAAAAAAAAAACGTGCAACTTTATAAAAAAGAAGAGATCATTCCCGAAGGAACGTCCATAATTATCATAGGTGTTTACCTTTGTTTGTCACTCAGTATATATGGACACTTTAGTGAGCAAAGACAAACTCTTACCTGTTATCCTTCCTGATATCCTTGCCCTTCTTCTTCTTGTACAGCTTGATGAAGTGATCCATGACCCGCTGGTCAAAGTCCTCACCTCCCAGATGGGTATCTCCATTGGTGGCGACTACCTCGAACACGCCGTTATCGATCGTCAGAAGGGATACATCGAAAGTACCACCGCCCAAATCGAACACCAAAACGTTCTTCTCGCCATCCTTTTTGTCCAAACCGTACGCGATGGCGGCTGCGGTCGGCTCGTTGATGATACGCATCACGTTCAAACCGGCGATGATACCTGGAAAGAAAATACAGGGTGAGCGAGAAAATAAGTAATTTCATGAGAGTAAGCTGAAACGATGACTTTGTACTATTCTAAGCCGTATCCAAGTCCAAGATTGATTTAAAAAAAAACATCACATTCACGACATTCTTCTGAGAGTATGGTCTTACTATTTCATTGCACTGGTAGAGTCCAAGCTGCAAGAGGGACATCAAACTAGAGATTGATGGTGTTTGGCCTGCAAAGAGGAAGACATCAGTAGGAGTGCCACAAGGTTCTGTCCTGGGCCCCATACTTTTTCTCATCTATATTAATGATCTCCCAAATAATGGGATAATGCCCAAATATACCTTCTTTGCAGATGACACATCAATATCTCTTGCAGCTAGCTCTCTGATGGATATACAACAGCAAAAGTCAAAATCTGGTTTTATTCCAACAAGTTGCTTCTAAATGGTGAAGAGATTAAACAAGTTATCTCTCTCTACGAGAGAAATAAACATCCAAATTGAAGATCAAGTTAAAATTTTAGTATGACATAACCATAAGCTAAGTTACCTGCATCCTTGGTAGCCTGTCTCTGAGCATCATTGAAGTAAGCTGGCACAGTCACAACAGCGTGGGTAACCTTCTTCCCCAGGTACGCTTCGGCAGTCTCCTTCATCTTGCCGAGGACCATAGCGGAGATTTCCTCGGGGGCGAACACCTTGGTGCCTTGACTGGTTTCCACCTGGATGTGCGGTTTGCTGTTCTTCTCGATGACCTTGAAGGGGAACAGTTTGATGTCATGCTGGACGTTAGCGTCGTTGAATTCGCGACCAATCAGACGCTTCGCGTCGAAGATGGTGTTTTCAGGATTGGTTGTCAGCTGATTCTTGGCTGCGTCACCGATCAGACGTTCACCGTCCGCCGTGAACGCTACGTACGAGGGGGTGATCCTGTTACCTTGGTCGTTTGCTATTATCTCCACTCGCCCGTTCTTGTATACACCCACGCTGTAAAAGTAATGGTGATAAGCGTCTCTAAGATATGTTTTCTCGTCTCACACCATAAGCAAGATATTTTAATTTTGAATGTTCTTTAAACATAAGGTTCCCCTCCGCGTCTGTTTTTTTGAACGCGACAAAACCATCAACAGGATGTTCACCAATGGACAGACTGATTCACATGAGGAAGCTTTAGGTGTATCTATATATAACGTGAATGTGTCGACTTATTAATTGAAACACGAGGAAGGTTATATAGGCTCGGTTTTTTCCGCGATAATATAGTGTTCAGAAACTATGGATAGATCAAAATATGAGTTTTCTTAAATGAAACCCTTAGCTTTGACACCAGAAATGTAAAGAGCGAGAAATTTTGAAACTAAGTTTGTTCATTTCCTTCCTTCTTAATGGGAAACATCTATTTTCAATTCCTGAAATAATACTTTACACTACTTCCACGCGAGCGGACCCGCGGGTTTAGTCTAGCAATTCATATAACCAGCTTTTGCATGAATTGACTGAAATATGACGATAATTGTAATCCAAGATAAACAAATTCGCCTATGAAAGTAATTATTTGGCATGGGGCTAGTGATGACAAATAAAATAAAATATGTGTTGTCTCTGCATAAGAATTCACAAAAAAGTCGGGCATACTATATGCGTAACTATTATACTTATGTCAGCATAACTGTTTTTGGTTCAAATTAGTAACCATGTGTGATTTTATTGAAACCTTTTTGATATGCAATTTGTAGCGTAAATTTACCCGCGAAAAGAATCTTTGCGATAACAGGAGTTATTCCTAAAGCCTGTAAGTTATCCCCTAGCCAAAACTCATATTGGATACCCACTATTTCAACCCCTGAAGTTATTTTGGCAATACAGCTGGCCTCTGTCCACCACCAGATCCCAGATCTAATCTACATCTGTGCCACAGTTCATTGAAATTGGTTCAGTTTTTTTAGGTTTAAAAAATGGATCAGTAAAAGTAAGTTATGAATGATGAAGCCATAATCTATCCCTCTTAATCCATTTTGGTATGTTATTTTATTATTTTTTCACAAATCATTTTGATGTTTGTTTTTTTTGTGGACCAAGTAAGTGTTCATTTTTGCTTGTTTCAAAAAGCAATCCAAAATATGAGGTGTTCATAAATGTTGATACATAGGGGAAGTTTGTCATTATTCAGAGTCATAACATAACTCATGAATGGATTATGTTTTATACATAGTATACAAAAGATAACTCTGCCCTCAGATATCTCTTCACTAATATCAGTATAAAAATAAAATTTTTGCAATTAATAGACTGTGTTAATGTCCTTGATTTGATAATAACACTGATAACAGGTACCAATTAAAAATATAACTTTAAATCGTTTACCCAAAAACTTGTATATGAAAACCAAGCTGTTATATTTCTGTTTTTTGATTCACATGTGTATTTTCATAAGTATAAAAATGAACAACAGAGGTTCTGATATTTGTATATCCAATGTTAACGGGAGCACCTGAGCCTCACAAGAATTTGAAGAGCTACCCTTAAAACGTGTACCAGACCACAACTCCAAAATAAAATATCACACTTACCATGAATATGTTGTTCCTAAATCAATACCAATAACTGTGCCCACATCATCTTTTTCCTTCTTGTCCTCCTTAGCAAAAACTGCTACTAGGAGGCACAGCACCCCTAAGCACAGCTGCAACTTCATTTTGGACTTCAATCTGAACACAATCTGGAAAAAGGTGTCATTGAACAGAGGACTTTTGTAACTGTACTTGGTAACTGTTCATATTACACACATGGAAGATGTGACACGTCATTAATGAAAATACCGTTCTTGAATTGAAAATGTAGATGAAAATAGGTCACTTACTCGTCTTGAAAAACGACATTCAAAACTACTTGCAATTTTTATCTCAAGAACGTGATAATAGAAGATTCCGATTATTCTAGAATACCGCTGTCCTCACTAGATATTTTACAGATTCTCTATTACAGATGAACGAAAATGTTCAAAATCAAATGCTGAAAATACTCACATTTAGTTAATGCACACACAGGAAATCACAAATATTAAAAATCTTCAATAATTTATGAGATAACGCTCCTAAAACTTGCAAATTCAAACACCTCTTTCAATTGACTCTCTTTGACAAACTGGCTGAAATAATTTCCGAAATACCAAAAATATATCTGGCAGAGTACTCGTGTTGGGTATTGATTGGACGATCGGTAGACGAGGCGCGATTCTATTGGCCGATGTCTAATTTGGTGGCTCGCTTTCATTGGTCCATGTCAGATCAATGGAAATATCTAGAAGTATGTCTGACGTGTGTCGTAGTGTCATGCTTTTTTGAAGAGGCATTGAAAACGACGCTGCCAGAGCGTCGTATTTTTCATATAAGACGCTACTTTTACCAACTAAACGTATTCTATATTTCGCGCCCAAAAAAATAATGAGATGTAATGAGATACGGTTGCGTCACCTATAAGAATTTGTCAGTAATAATAAATCTACCTTGGAAAGATTAGTGTCTCACAGATGGCGCAGTAGCCACTCTATTATCAAATAGTATATGTATATTTCAAGGCATGGTATCTCATTTCATCTCAGATAATTTTTTGGACGTGGGAATATAGTATTAGGTTGGCTATCTTCAGGTAGTATACGTTGATAAATGATAATAGGGTACTGTTAGGATGTACTTGCAATTATACTCTGGGCGCTGAAGAAAGACATTAAACGTAAACAGTGATCAGCACGTGAACAGATCCCTCGAAAGCATCCACGGATATACTCCAGTCACTTTAGGTCTAAACATCCTCGGCAGTGTATTTCTAGTGAATCCACAGACCCTTTTTCGTGTCATCTTGAGACTAGAAAAAGGATGACTGTTAAAATAAGTTACCTTGATCTTTCATGAGCTCCCAGTACAAAACATCATCGATATATTTTTGATGTAGGAACAACAAATTGGTTTAGAAAACATCCACTTTGAACCTAAATTGACTGGAGTAACATCGATCTACAGACAAATTCAAGGTCACTAGCAGTCGTCGGCGCTCTACGAATCTGCACAGGTTTGGACTAGTAAACGTGATTGTAGATGACACGACAGGCATCTAACAGTTGATTCACGCACAGGATTGCATTGCATACGCATTACGCATTCAATAGCGTATACTCGTTTTTCGCGAGTGGAACGTTTTGTTTATATATTGCCTAAGATACGATGTCTGACACAGATACAGCCGACGAAGTGGTTGACATCAGCGCAACCCCACCCAAAAAAAGGGCTAAGAAGCTACATTTAAGTGCAAATGAAAAACAAATAATATTAAATATATACAAAAAACAAATTCAAGAAAAACCCGATTTGGTCGTGGACGAAGTTATATATAAGGTAGCACATATTTCTGGAGTATGTCGGTCCAGTGTTTATAGGATCATTAAGGAATATAGGAGCACTCACTCACTTTCTGAGCCAAAACCGTATCCTGCAAGAAAAAGGATAACGGACGGAGTAGATGACTTTGGCAGAACTGCCATCAGGAGGAAAGTGCATAATTTTTTTTTCCGAAATGAGATACCTACAGTAGATAAGATATTAAGATTAGGTAATGCTGATGAGGATCTTCCATCATTTAAAAGAACCACAATCCGAAAACTTTTGAAGGAACTTAATTTTCGATTCTTGAAACGGGGAAGAAACAGTATGTTAATAGAGAAAGAAGAAATTGTTGTGTGGAGAAGGGAATACCTTAGGAAGATTCGGAAGTTTCGCGATGAAAAAAGAAAAATTTACTATTTGGACGAAACGTGGGTGAATGCTGGACATACTCAAGCGAAAGTTTGGGTCGACAAATCAGTAACATCATCAAGGCAGGCTTTTCTAGACGGTCTTTCGGCTGGATTGAAAAATCCTGCAGGTAAGCTCCTTCATCTATCCGGCAATTTAATTTTGATAAATTCGGGCAAATAATATGCTGTGATAGCAGATAATGTGTGATATTCTCCAAAAATAGTGCATTCGCAGTGTAGTCATTAGGAAAAAAACTTCGACCCTCTTTTAAGCGTTATTTTGAAATTTATTATCATTTTTGGGTACAGTCAGTTTGCTTTGAATGGGTTTTGAGAAGTTGCAAACTTCAATTTTCTACGTTTTTCAGTTTTTGATCAGCATTCCGTGACTCTTAAATTCAGCTAAATGAACTCAATTGCCTCATTCCTTCAAATTTAATCAATCCATAGTGTAAGGAATAATTTATTTCCAGGAAAAGGCAAACGGCTGATCATTTGTCACGTAGGTAGTGAAGACGGCTTTGTTCCCGAAGCACTGTGGGCCTTTGAATCAAAAAAGACAGGGGACTATCATGAGGAGATGGACGGCAATTCCTTTGAAAATTGGTTCTCCAAAATGTTACTAAAGCTGGAGAATAACGCTGTTATTGTACTGGATAATGCCCCGTACCATTCTAGAAAAATAGAAAAAATTCCCACAATGGCAACTAAAAAAGCAAACATACAACAATGGCTGGCCTCAAAACAGATCGATTTTGATGAAACAATGGTCAAGGGTGAATTGATAAGTATAGTCAATAGACATAAATACAAATACGATTTTAAAATGATCGACGAAATGGCCAAAAAACAAAATAAAACTGTCTTGAGACTGCCACCCTACCATTGTGAGCTGAACCCTATTGAGCTGATTTGGGCCAACATAAAGCAATACGTGGCGTCGAATAATAATACTTATAAATTTTCTGATGTTAAAAATCTCTTTCACATCGCAGTCAATAGAGTTACGGCAGAGGAATGGAAAAACTGTATCCGCCACGTTCGGGAGAAGGTTGAGGTCAAAATGTGGGATTTGGACAATGTCATCGATACCCAAATTGAACCTCTAATAATTCATTTAAACGATTCAGAAGATTCAAGTTCCTCTTCTGAATGAGTGCGCGCAGCTTACTTACTAATAACTAAAAAGTGTAGTTAACTCATTTGTGAATCTCTAACTGAAATTTACTGTAAAAGATAATAATTATCTTGTATGAAATTTTTTATGACTACCCATAATATCTTGATGCGGTCCTGTAATGTCTCCTGCGCCTAAACACTCACTCACGAGCAATATGCGTGTATTTGTTTGGGTTTAGTTTCTTTCTCCAGCGCCTAGAGAATAAATAGAGTAAGCCGAAGCAAACGAATTGTTTTGCTTTGAAAAGCGAGTTCTTTATCTGTTAGCCTGCAATATCTGCGAAAGAATGAACAATCGAACAGACAATGATCCATCAGAACTTGAGCGAGTTCATGTTATATCCATAATGCCGTAACCATTAACCGTGTTTCGGCGTCCAGAAAATTATCCGATGAAATCAGATATCCAGGCGAATCTATCAGAATTTGTCACTAGTGAATCATAGTTGACGCTGATGCCAACTAGCAGGCAGGATATTTTTTTGGACGCCTAAATACAGTATCTTCAGGTAATATACGTTAATCAATGGTGTGAATGAACTCGGGTACTTGTCATTTTGAAATCCGGCATCGTCGCTAAACACGATTCGGGAAAAACAGGCGGGAGTTTCAAAATTTGAATGACGTTTTGCATAACCTATTTATATTGTTTACGATTCCCGGGGTTTAACGTTTTTGTTTCGTCTAAAAATTTAATAATCATTTCGAAATGCAAACGATCGCAAAAAGTTTGCTGTAAATATCCACCTAATCTTAGTATTTATATTTTTGGAAACTTTTGGGCTCGTTTGAATTATAATGGAAGAATGCATAGAACTCTCCAGTGATTCAAGTGATACAATAATTTTACCCCCAGATTATGCTTCAAAAAATCGGGCACTTACAAAAACTAAAGACTATTATGATCTAAGTTCTTCTGATGATGATACTCAAGACAAGAAACAAAGTGAGATTTGTACAGGTGAAGACTCAGACAGCAAACATATAGATTGCGAAGAAATACTACAAAGACTGTGCAAAAAATATTCTCAAAACTCCTCTCAAGATGCGGTTGGATGCTCTAAAAGTAGCTCCATTCCACCAAAGTCTTCAGACAGTGAACACAAGAAAAAGTATGACACTAACATTGTGTCAAATAAACAAGAAAGTGATTCAAGTTTTGATTGTCAAGCAGCTAATGTTCCAACTAGTGATAAAAATGATAAGGAAACTAATATATTTGAGATGAATTGTGAAAGTGTCAAAATTGGTGTAAAACCTAAAGAATCTGTTGATGAAGCACTTGAAAATCTATATAAGAAATATTTTTCTAAAAGCTTCAATGAAAAAAATGATGCAACATCAGGCAACAGTCAACCATATAATGGAATTGTTGGAAAATCAGATTCTGAGAATGAGGATCAAGTTCGTGAAAATACCAATTTGAAGAAGGGGAAAAGGGGTACTGCAACCCTTAAGAGAAAACAAGAGCTTGAAGAGCAGAGGGCACAGAAAAAATTACAGAAGGAAAAAGAAAAAGAGTTGAAAGAACAGGAAAAAGCACTGAAGAAAGTAATGAAAACAATACAGAGGCACAACAGCAAGGATGGTTGTATAAAGGTTTATATGAGAAAATATTTTGGGTCAATTGTGCTAATATTTTTATTTTTAGACTATTGTTGTTCAGGTGGAAAAATCATTGTTAGAGCAAGAATTTTGTGAATGCATTAGCAAAATTCTAAGAGAAAATGATATTTTATTTAGGGCAATTGAATCATTCCCCAACCATATCACATGGCTGAGGAAAACTCAAACCTTGGAAAATATGGTATGCCTTTTAATGTAAATTTTATTTCTGGAGTGGAGCTCGCAGTTAGGTCTCTCAATTTACTTCTGAAAAAATATGCAGTGAGTTAATTTATTTCTACAATGGGGCTTGCAGTTAGAATCTCAATTTACTTTTGAAAAAAATATGTAGTGACTCTATAGCGTTTTCCATACAGTTAGTATTGAATTTCTCCCAAGGCTATAATGTGACAAATTTTGAAACTGTTGAGAGTAAAAAGATCTCTATTCTTACTCTTGATTTCAGTATCCTACACATTTTTGTTGATTATACAATGGAGTAAATTGACTCGGTGCTTTCTATTAGATATATAGTTAAAGTTTCAAGAGAGCTCATGATACTTGCTTATATAAAATCTGTACATCTGCTACACAACAGTATGATTTTATTGACAGTCATGCTCAATCTTTGTTTTTAGGTTTTGAAAGAAACTGATTCAGATGAATCTCACCACTTAACAATCATACCTCTAAAAACATTTATCAAACAGATTAGAGAAAGTAATCTTCTATCTCATGTTGCCGAAATTTATAGTAGGACTAACTTTAAGCATCTTACGTTGGTTATTTTTGGCAGTAGTGGACCTAAAGATGATGCCCAGGAGAATGCAATGTTACAAGTGGAAATGTCATATAAATGCCTATGGCATTTTGCTAAAACTGAGGAAGATCTATCAAATTTCATTCTTTCAGTAACTAAATCAGTTTCTCAAATTCCATATAAGTAAGTTTATTCCAAATTTACAGGGTGAGGTTATCGTGTGGGCGCGGTCAACAACTCTGTTATGCATGGCATCTAAAAATGTTAAATACAAAACATGTAGTCAGCAGTATGCTCCGTACTGGGAAAATATTTTTATCTCTACAGGGTGATCCAAACATCCATTTTTAAAATGGCCCCCTTTTCACAAGCTTAGATTTAGATATGTATTTCCAAAAAAAAATAGCACAATTTTTGTAATTAATTTTTTTAGTTACAATGCATAGACCACGCTCACACTAGAAACTCATATTTTATTCATAAACATCATTGAAATTATCTGTATTTATGTCAGAATTTTGAAATGAAACATTTTCGCTGTGTTGTAAAGCAAAATACAAAATTTCATACCATTTTCAATTATTTGATTGTATTTATCACAAAAATGCTTTTGAATGATTTTTAGGCAAGAACAACAAGAAAAGTATCAACAGCAGAATTTGTATTTCAAGGATTCAAATAAAGACACAGTGAGGGTAGATAAAAATGGTAATGGCTTAGGGAGATTGTGGCACCAAATGTTGACTATGTTTCCCATGGCAAGACTGGAACATGCTGAAGCTATAACAGCTGTTTACCCAACACCAAAGGCACTGTTCCAGGTAAGATACTAGGAAAAATAAAATACAAGTAGTCATTTGAGAAAAAAATGATTCTTGGTGTTTTATACAATTATGGTATAGTTGTAGTCTCGGTTCTTGGAGGGTCAAAGTGAGACTACCAGTATCCCTTCATATATCTTCATCTCCGGGATAAGTTTCAACATTATTTGAACATAGATTGCTTTGACCTTATTCGGACTCATCGGTTGCGTAAAAATTTGCACCATCCTATTTCTTGGTAATGAAACATTTTAGGACCTATGCTTCTACTTTAAAAATACTGCCAAGTTTTTATGAAACACCCTGGCCCCATAATTGATATAATAAGGGGATTAATGTGACATTACATCTTGTGGTTTTCATGTTGATAATTGCTCATGTTTGTCTGGGAATCCAACCACATATGTTTAAAATTCCTCTTTATTGGTCAAAACCTTGTACATCAAAGATGAATTTTAAACGTATGTGGTTTGATCTGGCCAGGCAAACATGGGGAATAAGTGGAGCCTCAACAGTTGATTAATGTTTTTTTGTAGGGATACAACAACTGTGAGAATAAAGAAGCAATGCTACAGGAGTTACAGATTAGGAGAGGCCAGGGACCTTTGACATCAGTAAGAAAGTTAGGACCTGAACTGAGCAAAAAGTGTTGTAATTTTTTCAATTCTACAGAAAATACCCTTATTTGAAATTCATAATATGATCAACCTAGAATCAAAAGAACATTTAGAATTTTTGAAGTTCTGTGATATATTTAGTAGGTTATTTGATTCCATTTTCACTTCAAACCTTTATTTTTCAAAACAGTTTCTGAAAACGTGAAAACTTTACGCATTATGCATAAATGTGATGTTAAATTAAAAAAATATTTTTAGGTCAAATAATTATTACAATAAGAAGACTGAATAAACGTGTTTAACAAATATTTTATTTTTGTTTTGGTAAAATCCTATCCAATACATGTCGTGGTTTGTGTGCTTTAGGATCGTCTTTGTTTTTTTATATTCCCTTTTTCTTCTTGACAAATTCCTTTGTTGCTTCCCCTTTCAATATCTTCTTCTTCGTAGCCATTTTGACTGAACCTGTGAAAGAAAGCATCCTTTCTTGGTTCATAGTTTATTCTTGGTAGCCTCAGATACTATTGAATGGGAAAATGCAATAAATAGAGCTGTACTGTTGAGAAATAAAAAATGAAATATAATAGTATTAAACAGTTAGCACCTTCTGAGGAAGCAATGCCACATAAAATTGACTGAGGAACAATACAGTGACATAAATTATGCCATAAACAGCAGGAAAATGAATCTTTATGTTAAAACGAACTTTATTGTATACCTAAGTGGAATGAACTTTTCAGCCTCAATCTTGTCTTTAAGGGTTGGTGTGTCAACTTCGGCTATCTCTGTTGGATCCAGAGAGATCAGTTCTGGTTGTATTTGGAAGAAAAAACAATTTATCAGGTTAATCTATGCAAAAAATGATGGGTTACGTTTTTTCTTCTAAACAAATTCAAACATTTCGTATTTGTGGGTAATTCGCAACAAACGATGATAAACACATCCGCTTTGTTTTAAACCATGTGTAGTAACGTATGCTTTTCGAATATCGTAACGCATTGGTTCAATTACTCACATATACGAAATATTTGAATTTGTTTAGAAGAAAAAAATGCAACCTTCGTTTTTCGCATAAAAATAACATTTATCTTTCGGAATGGTTTGTGATTCGTATCGGCAAGATAAACACGTGTATTTTGCTATTAAATGCTCTTAGAACGAACCCTGTGTATTGCTCAATAAACTAATAGTGATGGCGGGAAAACAGGTGTTCTGGGATAAACAATTAGGAATTCTCAAAAAACTACTTGACCAATATAATCCAATTTTGTTGTTGTTATTTAGAAGAATGCATCCTACAGATGTGAAGAATTTCTAGTAGTTGCGTGAAACTATCGTCGCATTACCAACAAGTGCCAAAACCTGCATTTTGCCTCGTCTTTTGTTACAATCTGAAATACTGCAAAAAATAGGTCTGTCCGACGTGAGCTCAACACGTTCTTATAATACGTTTTTTGTGTGGCTAAAAACGACTAATAAAAAATCTCCAGCTCTGGGAACTTGTTTTCTATGCAAATCGGGTACTTATATTCTGAATTCGATGTCAAATCACTTTTACGATTCACTATCAATTTTTCAACCCAAATCGGATCCGATGGCGCTTTAGAATGTTTTCACTATGATACTTATACTGGGTGATTCACAAGTTGTGGCCAAAAATGAAACATCATACACAGGACCGCATTTTAAGGGGGCCTTCTATGTAACATTTTTTCTTTGAGGGCTTAATCTAAAAGAAGGTGTTGAAGTTTAAAAATAAAAAAACATTTTTTTAACATCTTCAAAACCGTTAACTGGAAGGAACTAAAATTTGGTATGTGGATTTACCTACATAAGCATTGTCCACATTCAAAAGTCTTTACTTAAAATTAACATGCGCCAGTGGCGGAGATAGCGGAATTATTTTTCCAAATAAAAATAGTACGCCATTGTTACTCATCTGTTTTTTCCTAGAGTGCATTGTTTTCGTAAAAATATAAAAAGACAAATTAGATAATCAAAGCTTTATTTCAATAGATGTTCAAAAAGACCACCAAAGCAAAGCAAAGCTTCGATAGCCATCGATAAGAAAAATGGATTTTAGCAAAAACGCATAATTCTGTAATTTTTCAATAAATTATTAGATCTACATGTTTAACGGGATTAGATACATGTGAATTGACATCAGATTCAGCTTTGGCAATTATGTTCTAAAATTGCAAAAATGGGTCAGTCGATAATGTGAACCCAACCATTCTTATAATACGTTTTATGGGGCGCCAAGACCGAATCCGTCAATTCACTCAGAAAAGTTCTCGTTCTCGAGATAAGGGCAAGACTTCCACTTTGTCGAAAAACGACTAATAAAAAATCTCCAAAAACTATTGCGAATCTATTATCTAGATGGAACGTCGTTTATCTAGAGAAATTGTGTGCGTAGATTCCGAATTTGATAGCAATTTAGTGCTAGGATTTACGGGTATCTCCGAGTTAAAAGTTTCTTACCAATTTCACACAAAATAAAGGTCCGATGACCCTTTAGAATTATTTTTCTATGATACTCATATTCAGCGCCTCAAATTACTTGATTGTATCGCTGACAAAGACTTCTCTGGACACCAGGATCAGAACGAGAACAGAAGCAAAGCATTACCCGGAGGTCTCGACGCAGCAGCCTCCAGTCACGCCAACCGACAACTAAAGTGCGCGTAAGTTCGCAGCGTACGGCGTCGGTACGGCCACCTACTGCTATCGTCGTTCTGCGCTGCGTCGTCATTGGTAATACCCTCTTCAGACTCACGGGGGGCGATCGCGGCGCGGATCTCGGAGTGAACCCCAAAAACTCTTCCTACAGTTGCACAGCCGGAGATGTTCGCGCCTGCTTTACAACAGTATAGTTCGCGCTCTTGACGAGTATGGTAGGAAGGTGGAATTGCTACTGCCCTTGCAGCGATACCTTGCGCTTTGGCAATTTATAATTACGCATATTTAAGTAAAACTAAGACAATTGAAAAGAAGTGGAAAACACACAACCACTCCCGGCGCTATGAGGCAACTGAGCCACCAGCGCATCAGGAGCTTAGTCATGTTCGCGCCTTGCGAACTCTTTGTCGCGGGACAACAATAGGCGATGGGATCCACACTCATGGGTCGCGGGTAGTTGGCGGCTTCGCGCGTGAGTCTGGAGAGGGCTTTAGAATTTAGCAACCCCCTCCTTCCAGATCCCAATTTTTGTTGTGGGCAGGGTTGCCAGCCCTACAGTTTTAACTGTAGATTTAGTTTTTCAAAAATCTTCCAAATTTTCAGTTCGGGCCTCCAAATATACAGTTTTTCGTTTAAGATGCCCGCGCCATCTGTTTTGTTTGCTTAACCGAGTGCTGCTCAAGCAAGGTGCCCCCCTCTTCAATTTTCAACCACCGGCAAGTTTCTGCAATGTCAATATCTACTTGGTGATCATGCATGCAAAAAGCAAATCATTTTTGGGTGATTGACTCAGCTCAGCTCTAGAAAATATGAAAAATGAGTGTTTTGGAAGGAAAAACAAGTGAAAAATTAGTAGCTTGGTCATGTAAGGCTCAATTTGCAATAATGCTCTATTGTCGACATATAGTATATATACAAAGCGAATCGACACGTTGCCTCGAAGCAAAATGCGGCGGCAAAACAACGGATTTGCCTGTGGTCGTTCTGTACATTCTCAAACCTCTAGTAACTAAAATTATTCCCTGTTTATAGGTGATTTATCAGCACATGTGTGGGTACTTGGCATCATGATTCTCGTACAATGGATTGATATCAAAATAGTTGAACAAAATATCAACCTCATATAAATTACACTAATAGATATATAGTTATGCTTCTTCGTCAGATTAACCAGCATGGAATAATACACATATATGCGGGTTATCTCAATTTTTGGTATTTTGTCAGTTAGAACACTTCGTGAGAAAGGCGACGATATGTATGGATAAAAATAGAACGCAATAACTTGGAGTTTCTATTTTAACAGAGTTCACGTAGGTATTCCAGTTGAACTAGATATTGCACTAATATAAGTGAAAAATTATAGAACGTATTTTTATTACTACACAATATCACTTCGTACCGTTTTTTTTTTGTCATTTCAATACGCTCATTTTGTCACCCTTGTACGTATTGTATGCTACGCCTATGTGTAATTGTGGCAATGATTATACATGGAGTTTTCATTGACGTTAGGTTTCACAGCCTGAATATTTTGTGGCCTGAATTCGCATGAGGCGATTCCCCATTCATTCCCTCATAGCCCCTCATCCAACTTTTTGCTTTGTTTAAATCGTCAATGAGTCGAATGAAGTTATATGAATGACTTGCTGGGTCTATCGATCTATCCTTGTTTTTAAGTCGATGGTACAAGACATATACACTGATCGGTCGATGGTGGCTCCACAGTACCGCTTGACAGCTGCTTGAAAGATATGTCAAAACACCATTTGACAATTGACAGTATGAATTACCCGCCCAATTTTTTGTTTGTTTTTGTAATAATTTCTGGTTAATTTGTTTATAATTTTGTCCAGTTATTTGGTTTAAATATATTATAATGGAAGAAGAAAGTAAGTCAGTCACTAATTTTGAACGCTGTGTATGTGAAAACTAAATGAATTTCCCTTTTTCTAGAACTCTTAAGCCGTAAACAGAATGCTCAAAGAAATAATAATAAAAAGCGACTTATGGATGCATGCTCAGATTTAGCAGAATTGTATATGAACCAGGGTCGCTACAAATTAGCTATTGCTCAATACAAGCAGTTGGTAGATCTACATCATATCGAAAATGATATGTACTATGCCCGAATCAACAGGGGTATAGGAGAGGCATATCAAGGACTCAGATTATTTGAAGAGGCATTGAAATACCATCAAATTTATCTAGGTAGCTTTATCATGCATCTTTGGTAAAATATATATTTTTATATTTGCCATTTTCCCATTTTCAATTTAGTTTATATATTTTAGGGCTACATAGGGAGCTTAATACTGATTACATTGCCGCTTCATTCCATTAAAACAAAAAAATGTTCCAAAATAGTGTCAAGCTGCCTTGAAATTTTCAACTGCCACTTTTATGCTAAAATATAGTATTCATTACTATTCATGCATTCATTTCATTACTCCAAATTTCAGCTTGCTAACTTGACCTGATCAAAAAATAAGTGTGGGAGGGGGGACATGTTTGGAAAGCACTGTATGTTATAATAGACTTTACATTTTTCCAGAAATGCAAAACTAACATTTTTTCCCATTTTTTGGCCTACATTCAGTCATAAATCATCATAAAAATCTCTTCCTCTTTATGCATAATGATACATTATTTCTTTTTTTTATTCCATATCAATAAAAAAAAAGATGCTTGCTTATAAATGAATAGTCCTGAAGAATTCAATTTGAATATCTATTTAATTCCCAATTAATTTTGATTTGAACCATTTCAGATGTGGTACTAGTCCAAAAACAGCCAAACTATTTAGAGAAACAGAGGGCTCTTGCAACATTAGGTCATACTTATCTAATTTGGGCATCAGAAACTGAAACAGACAAAGAAACGAAGTTGGAAAAAGCAAACAAGTTTCTGATGGACGGTTTAGAAGTGACAGAGAGGTATTTGATGGTTTGAAAAAGCTCCAGATAATATTCTCACTCAAATAAGTAGCTGTTTAAAACTTCATTCTGGAAGATGTTTTACCATAAGCAATAAGAGGCTGAATCATTCCAACATTTTATCTATTCCTGATGAACTGACATTCCGTATTATTGTTTCAACTGCTAGTCTAGTTCATCTAGTTGCATTAACCTGTTACACAGTTTCTAATTTTAAGGTTTAGAAAGTTCCTGGCAGGCTGCCTATGCACTGCTACTTTTCTGCTGCTGGATAACCTGAGTTGATAAAATCAGTAAAGCAGAAATAATTGAGGAACTATAAATAATAAATCATTGTTTTGACAAAACCTTCTATATGCTTAGAAGCACCAAAAACAGAATGACATAAAAATTAAGTTTAAAAAAATGGTTTTGCTTCCATTCTACCAATTTTTAGTAAATATCTACAGAACGACTGGAGTTTCTTATTATGAAACTCGTACATCAGATCATGAAGCTCATATTTGACTATACAGGTATTCAAAAAGCTCCGATGTGTAAAAATTTAGATAGGATGTTTCATCAAAACAATGAGGAAATATACTTTTCTATAATTCACTAGTGCACAAAACATGTTTTGGTAACAAAAAGCAATTTGTTTTTCTAGTTCTTCTTTTGACTATAACATTATTGTACTTTCATTATTATATTATTTTGTAGCCTTAGCAGCATAAACCAACTAGAAAAGGCTGACATGCTGTCCAGGCTGTACACAAATTTAGGATTAGTTAAGGAGATCAAAGGACAGTATAATGATGCTGCAGATCTCATAAAGAAGTCGATAGGCATCTGTAAACCACATGATATTTATGAGCAACTCACTAGAAATTACTTGTCTATGGCTGGTTTGTGTGAGAAAATAGGAGATAATAATGAGGCCATCAGAAATTATAACCTGTGTATTGATGTTGCCAGTAAGATGCCTAAACTGTTATGCTTTGTTGAACTTTGTCTATGATTCATTAGTTTTAGCGTCCAGAGGGAAGTTCACTTTTTGATTTAAGAAAAAAAGTACAAATTTAGTAAAAAGAAATATTTATTACTATCAACATATTCGTAAATTTGGCGGGTTTTATTTCTTAAATATCATTCAGTCCAAATGTTTGCCGTCCCTTCTGACACACTCCTCTAATCGCGCGCGCAAATTCTGAAACACTTGCAGAGTTCCGGAGTGATGTTTATTTTTCGTCGAATGCTGTCTTTGAGCTCCTCCAGTGTTCGTGTATTATTGGAATGCACTTTTGACTTTAAATAACCCCGCAAAAAATAATCGCATGGTGTGAGTTCGGGTGACCCAGGAGGCCAGTTGTCATCTTCAAGAAATACGGCCCAATAATACCGCTAGAGGATATGTCGCGCCAAACAGTCACCTTTGGACTATGTAGCTGTTGTTGATGTTTCTCTTGTGGGTTCGTTGGTGCCCAATATCTGCAATTTTGCTTGTTTACATAGCCGTCTAAGTGAAAATGGGCCTGGTCACTGTAAACAACGTTCTCGAGTCTGCGCTGCGTAGGAAAAAGATTCAGCATCCGTTAAGCACAAGATTTCCGTAATACGTAACCACTTACCTTTAAAGCATGGACTAATTGGATCTTATAAGGATGAAAACCCATTTTTTCTTCATTATACCATGCAGGGTTGACCTAGGGATTCCCAAAGCAGCGGGTGATGATCACTTACGAATCACTTACTCGACGCACATTTTCTACGGTTGATACAGTAGGTGTGGAGCCAGGAATGGCTTGACTAAGAGTAGAGCCTGTTTCAGAGAAGCTCCTAATCCACTTTTTCGATAGGTTCTTACTTGGTCGGGGAATGTTGTATCGTGTACAAAATTTCCGAAGGGCAGCTGCGTATGAGTCAGCACTCTTAAAGTAAGCCTCGATAGCAAAAGCACGTTGCGCTCCGGTCCAACGTTCCATTGTGACTATTTAACCCAAACGCCGAACGCGTCGATCGAGACCACTCCCCACTTCTTCGCGTAGACGGTTGGCGCGTAATTCAAATTTGAAATGTGAACTTTCCCACTGGACATCCTGTATAAGTTCAATTCAGTTCAGTTCCTTTAGTAACCAGATAAACCATATAAAAGAAATAGCAACACAAAAAAACAAGCAAGATGTCAGCTCATATGACATGCATATTTAAAATTAAAATTTGATACAACTATTTAAACACAACAAATGATTAGAGATATTACATTACATGTTAGAATCAAGTTCTACAAAATAGTCCCAGAACCACCCTGAGTCTCCATAAAAGCAGTTCTGGGGCAATATTGGTATAGTATCCTATAGAATCTAGACAAGACTTATGTATGAAAATCATCTTAGGTTTCAAGTGTTTCGTTCAACATTGTGATTTTTAGAAAAGGTGAAAAGCAAAGTTTCTTTGCTATCTACTGCATTGCTTGCAAAGTCTGAACTATTAGTCAGGCTTACAGAATATCATGGTGCTAAGACAATTCTCCAAAAAGCTTATAAGCTTAAAGGCTTGAGTGATGAGGAAAGAAAAAATATTGGAGAAAAACTTAAAGTCGGTAAGCACCAGTAATAACAGTATAATATTATTTAGTTTAATGTTGAGTAGGATTTATTTGTACACTTGGGTTCATCATTTTGACTTGGTGTCAATTCAAATGTCAGAAGTCATATGATCCAATCATAATTATAGTTTGGCTAGGGTTGCTCTGTACTTTCTACACAATGCGATCATCAGTTCATAAAAGATAGAGTTCAACGCAATTTAAATCCTCCGAGAAAAAATTCAGTCTCGAACATGTACAACAGGAACATTAAACGGATTATAAACATATCCATAGACATTCTTTCCCCGCCCTACCCGCATGGGTATCACGTAAAAAACCTATAAAACGTCAAAAAAAAAAAAAAAACAATAAGAAGTCATCTTGCAAAATAGGTAGTTTTTAGGGCGCAAACAGTCATTCCACATTTGCTCACTACGATCGTTGTGAACGTCCATCTAAGGAGGAATCACTCAACTAAACTACACGCATTATTGGTTGCATATGTTTTGTGAGGCCAAATGGTACTACTACTAATCACCACCGCGCCCGCGTTGTGTGCAATTACTGTTAGCATGTATATGGCTTGTAATTCGACAGTGTACAGTGAATATAATTATTTCTAATCTCTCATTTTTGAAATTCATCAAATTTGTATATGTAATTTCCAGAATGGATAAGAAAAAGTGGATGCGCAACTAATCTCTAGCTTTGAATCTCAATTAAGTGTATTTGAGACAAGAACCCGCATACAACTTACAGCTTAGACCTCCAGTAATGCCATCTCAGAAGCAGATTTTACATCACATCAGAGCCAAATATTGATAACCAGCCTCTTGATGTTTAGGCAACACGTACAACTAAGTGCTAAGTTAAGATCTTGTAGAAAAATCTACATAATGTAAAAAAGAAACCAGCATAATGTCAAAAAAAATCGGCATAATGTCACTTTTCAAGATACGTGACACCCGTACCTGAGTTTCCGTCCATCTGGCAACGTTGTCTCTTTCCACATCTGCGCTTCATCGCTGAGCGAGTTATCGGCAATTTTTTTCTGAAAGTGGTCAGGACCCTCTGAAACGTCAAAAAAACGAACTTTGAGCCATTTTCATGTTTTTCGTTTTTGCTTTTTTTCACCGCCGCCACAACCGATTTTCAAAAACTACTAAGCTTTTTCGTCACTGGTAACCTTGTGTGAAAATTTCATCACTACCCGAGCGGTACTTCTTAAGTTATAGACGAGCCAAGGATTAGCGGACAGACAGACAGTATGACAGACAGGCCAAAAGAAAGACCGTCACACAGACCGACAAACAGACCGGCCGACAGACATTAGTGACATGGTTTTTGTGATATACTTGTCCTAAAACATTATCGCATTTTCGGAACTTTTCGCGGTTACAATACTTCCTTGCACAGTGGTCAAACTAATGGTGTTTTAGAATAGAAAGTAACGACTTTACCTTTTAGTTGTCTCCATGTGCCAAACCGAAGATAAATTAGTGGTATCATCTGGAGATCATAAAGAATTGAAGATTCTCTATGAAAAAATGGGCGATGCTGCTTGCATCTTCCAATGTTATCAAAAAGCTGTAGAATACTACACAATGATGCTTGAACATGCTCAAAAATCAGGTGGGAATGATGAGGAACTGAAAAATTGTTATTTTAGTTTGGCAGAAACCTACAAAGATAATGGTGACTATTTTCAGGTATTGTGTTGACAGTACATATCTTTATAGTGTAATAGAACTGTGATAACTATTTTCCCGAAATTTTGTAATTAAAAAAAACAGGACAATAAGTTTTAGATTTCAATTTTAGAAGAATTTTCGAAGTTTGTTCCACTGCAAATTGAATCATAACTAGTTGCTAAATATTCGCGTAAAACATGAACAAAACGTGGTCTCGATTTCAGGTATGGGCTGAAACTAAAGGAAAGCTCCCATCTCTAGATTGATGTTGAGGATTGACTTCCCGAGTTATCAATGAATTACTAAAACTTGGTACTTCATATATTGAAAACATCACTTATTTATAGGCAATTTATCACTATGAGAAAGAATATGAATTATGCAAGGAATTGAAAGACGGATTGAATACTTTGAGCAATATTGCTGATACCAAAGAGATGGCCAATCTACCTTTGGATGATGTCAAAGCAGTATACGAGAGAGCCTTCGAGAGTTGCCGAGCCGAGAAAAATTTAAAGGAAGAACGAAGGATGGTTTCTAGGTATGTTATTAATAGTACATTGAAAGTCAACGGCTTTCATCTGTCCAACCAACCTCATTAGCAATCATCAATATCGTACAGGTTCTGAGATGAATTAAATCAAAGTATTTTCATCTCACTAAGGTTTTGGTTATTTTCAGATACATTATCTATTTGAATAGAAATGAACATAAGAAAGAGTTGGACGTCGCTTATAATCTTTTGAAATCTCTTGGTACTCCAGATTCTAACGAGGAATCATCAAGTTCTGATAGTGATAGTGAAGATTCACAGACCAAGTTACCTGTTGGAGCCGATATTGATCTGGATGAACTTCAAGGTTATAAATCAGTTCTAAGTATTTTATAAATAGTATGTAGGGTTTCTCAACATCCTTCATATGTACTTTTGTTTAGATTTGTCTTATTGTTCTTTAATTATTTATGTATTATTTAATGGCGTGGCGATCATGATACAAGCCTCCGGAGTCTCTGCCATTGTAAAAGGTTGGGAAATCATACTGTAAAACAAAGAAAAAAAGACAGTTTTATCCAGGCGATTCGATCCCTTCTTAGATTAATGTGAAGTTTAGTAGGTTATTTTTGAAGTAGTAGCTTTATTTAAGTTCATTCTTCTAAGCATGAGTGACTTTTATTACCTTTTGTTGCAAGCTTGTGGGAACGCGTTTTTTGACTCATAATTTAACTTGCTTTTCTTTTAGATGTATCAGATAATTCTGATGAAGAAACTTATGAAATGTCACCCAACAAAAAACGAAGTAAACGGTTCACTATCAAGAAGAATGAGAAAGGTAGGAATAACTTACAATGCGAATATATCGTAGAAGGAAATAAGGCTATTTTGATTAATTTGAAAATAAAAATTATTGGCGTCATTGTCAATTTATTTCAATACTAGATTCCTCCAGATTTTGTCTGAAACGTTAGTAACACTACTGTTATCGCTATACGATTTTCATTTACAATTATAGAACATTATGTTTTATGATTGATTCAAGAATTCTCGATGAACATACAATTTTCACTGCCACAGCCATGTTGCCAGTACTTAAACTCCTCTTTGAGAGGAAATTGTTCATTTTTAAACATGACATCAATCTTCCATGGAAAGAAGCATCGCTATACCTTCCCCATAATTATTTCTAAGGTTTCTTATCCCGTAATCTGCGGTATCAGTCCTACATGTGACAACTTTGACACCTAAAGACGGTGGTCGACGCGTATATATTTGCAAGCATAAGTGGTTGTCGGCGCCACATATGCCCTTTTTTCGCGCAGGCACTACTTTCAATCGAGTTGGGTATGTTCTGGTGGCATACACATGTATTAATAGTTGCTTGAGAAAAATATAGAGAAACAGAGACAAGGAAGTTGGCTAGACACATCCTACGGAAAAATGCTTCATGAGAAACTGATTCTTGGGTTTCTTCTGCATTTACAGTACGGGGCCAATCTCAAAATTTTGATATGACACGATAAAAAATATTCAAATCTTAGACATTTTCCGAAGTTTGTTGTTTAGCACCAAAATAAAAAATATTTGACTGGTTTTTAACATGCGATGTAACCAAAACTTCGATCGGCTCTTGGACTATTGCTAATGGCTTGACGTTCTGTCATGGATCCGCGCGCTTCGTTCATTGGTGACGTTGCATATACCGAGACGGTGTTGCCAGACTGACTTAAAATGTTTAGAAAACGCTACATTTATACAGAGCTGAACTGAGTTCAGTTCTTTTCGATATTTTTAGTGGTTACGTCGAAAAGTCATACGAAATAAGTAATCATTATCGGCACCTCCATATCATCCAATTTCAAGCTGATTCCTAAACACTGAATAGCTATATGTCATAACCTGAGGTTTTGAGAATAACTTCTGTTCACATGACGCAACGAGCACTCGCGAAACGCTTGAATGAATGAAAAATATATTTCGTACGTGGGATTGGCGATTCCAAGAGATCGACTTTAAGCTGTTATTTGCTTTTGCAGGTGAAACTCAGCTGCACACTGCTTGCATCCACGGTCATCTGCAAGTGGTACGTCACCTGTTAGATTTGGGGCATCCGGTAAATGTGAGAGACTTTTCTGGTTGGATGCCTCTGCATGAAGCCTGTAATCATGGCCACTTGGAAGTGGTCAAACTCCTGGTGGAAAAAGGAGCAGCTGTCAATGATAGAGGGGGAACTTACTGTGGAGGTAAGAAAAGTTCATTGTGGATATTATGCGATACCTTTTTATTTTTTTTTGTAATCAAAAAGTACCGCTCTAGCACGGTGCAAATTACAAATGCAGCTTCACTGAAATCGAACACCGAAGAATCAGACATCTTCCAGATTAAAGAGCTGATTTAGAGTCTGCCATTTTTCCAAGAAAATGGTATAGATTGCTGTACTTTTGTGTCAAAATTATCTTGCTGAGGCGTGCGGAACCTCAGTAACGTTTATTATTTTCAGGTATAACTCCTCTATATGATGCTGCCCGCAATGCGCATCTACAAATTATCGAGTACCTTTTGGATCATGGTGCATCTGTTAATACGAAAACTGACGATGGAGATACTACCTTGAACATACTGAAAACTTATCATGGAGGGGATAAAATTCATGAAGATCAATGGCCCTTGTATTTTAAGCTGATAGAAAGACTGGGAGAAGGCATGGAGAAGGCTGGACAGAAGGCGGAGCCTTGCCCGCGTAGTAGGAGTTTTGGCTTTGTTGATGAGGATGATGGTAGGATAATAAAAATCAGGATGTCCCAACCGTGCGAGGACGGAGTATTTCTTCCGAACAAAAATATTCACAATTATACGGGGTGTCCCAATTTTGACCCAAATATCAAAGTTGATTTTTCTTAAATGGTATGCCTTACTACTTACTATTACACATTCGGATAGACCCTTTTAAAAGAAAGATATTGATTTAACATACTTATGGATTCTGGTTATTAGCAGGCAGCAGCGGTGGCCGCAGTAGTAGACTCTTCGGTCTCCTGATCAGTCGCCGTGCGCTGTGCGGGTTCGAGTCCCGTCCCAGGAGAAATTTTTCTCTTGGCTATGGATGTTGTGATTGTCCGTAGGTGGTAGATGGTCTCTGACTGTCGAACGCGGAGGCACCACCCGGCGGTTCTCGTAGGCGGAGCCAGAATGTGTGCATGTTGCATGCACACGTGTTCTCTCGCCAGAGTCCGTGTGGCGTCCCCCCCTTTCCCATGTATCGCCCTATAGCCCCACGGTACCAAATGGGTGCTTAGGCCTTAGGCCTTCGTGGTAGTTGGAGTATAAAAAAGAAACTAGTTGGTAAATGAGTGGGTGTTTTAAATAAATCCATCAAAGTTTGACAGCCTGCATATCTGCTATGCTGACAGGTGGAGTCATGCAGGTTGTGACAAAAATTTTATACTCCACTCAGTTTTAGCCTAATTCGTGCATTTTTCGTATTTTTTTTAATGATCAATGTAGGGTGGTCAAACACGCAGAATTTACTGTATCGCAAAAAAGAAAACATATTTTGAATAAATGTTCACTTCAAGTTGACCATCACTATAGCAGTACAAATAGTTAAAATTTTAGTTATGTTTACTTATATGTGTCATTTTCAGGCATCTCGAAAAAATATATTTTATATTCTAAAACACAAAAGCATGGAATTATTTAATTTCTTCATAAAAGCATCCTGATTTACGGACATATTGTCAGTAATCTGTTTGAACAAGCTGGTAATAACCTTATATTAAACGGTTGGGACACCCTGCATATTCGTGAAAATTCTTGGTGTGTCATCAGAAACACCTAACGACCGCAAGCATATTTTTAAATATAAAAAATCCACTAATTTTAGATCTGGTAATAACCACGCTGGAAGGTCAAGAATGAACTGCCCAAATCACAAAAAGTTTGCAAACGAAAAGGTTTTTGTATTTTCAGATCCGCCTTTAGAAAGGTCGTCACGACGTTCAAATAAGAATAAGTCAGCAGTAAATGGAACAAAAGAGGTACGCGACTCATCTACAAGTAAAAGATCAGCGCTTGTAACTGAGGAGGAAAATATCTTGTACGATGATTGGCTTGTGGTAGATGTTCCAAATAAACCAAAAAGGAGACGAACCAGCTCGTCCTTAACCAGAACTAGCAGTATTAGGTCCGACAGCCCGATGAATCGGAAATCAGTGTCACGTAAGTAGTTGAAAATTATATGATTTCCATCTTTGCTAATTGTATATTTTGAGTTCTTGAGTCGGGAATGAGATCATTAAAATGCTTGTTGAGTCAGATATCTTTATTTAAATGAATGTAGGAAATATGCAATAATAATAATATATCTTTGTTACTTCATTCATTTCCTTAAAAATGTAGCAGTATTTAAATATTTTCGTGCAGTATGGCAACACAGCATGACAGATGCCGAGCTATCTGTACATGGAGCCTAGAAACTACTGCAATGCTGTTGGTGCCATTGGTACTTTGACAGGGTTGCCAAGTTGGGGTATTTCCCTCCAAATTTGGGAAATTTTACTTGGGGCATTTTTGCGGAAATAACGTTCTGGGGAAAATCATACGTTTCGCGGATAGAAAGCACCTTCCCGTTCTTTGAATCAAATGTACCTCTCCCTTTAATAACCGTGATGTGGGGGATATTTTTAAAAGGGAGCAGTTCCAACGTTTTTGAACTATAACTGGGAGAGAGAGCCCCCCAAAAGATCACTAGGAAAAGGTGAATGCGCAGAAAATTCTTGTCTTCCCGCTCTTCAATTGTCGGTAGCCTCCCTCACCGTTTTTCAGTTGTTTGTTTACTTGTTGTGGTCGTCTTTTCGTTAAGCCGACGACAGTTGTCTCATAGATGGCTCTGGTTTTGTTGTAAAATATGGCACGAAAGGCAACCAGTAATGCTGTGCCGAACCAATTTTTAGTAAAGGTAACAGGCCAATGATGACGACCGTCGAAATTTCTCTTTGATATGACTTTATTTTAGACAAACTATAAGAATTTCATATTTTAACATAACAAGTTCATTATTAAGCACCATATTTATTTAACATATTCTTGAAAAGCAGCCAAGAAGAGGGTCAGCGATGAATTTCTCGTGCCAGACGACTACGTGGAAGAAAACGAACAAGACTATTCTTGGATTTCTCCTTTGAAAAGCCCGTACAAAAATACAAGTCAAGAGAGTAAAAGGAAACGTCAGGTGTCACTGCTTGACTCTGGATTTAGTAAAGATCGAACTACGGGTCTGTCGATTTCACAAAATTCAATAAAACGGTATAATTCTGGTGGAACTTCCCAACAAAAGCAGGCCAAACTTACAAAGTTCACTCAGGCGACAAACCCTGTAGGGCAGGTACGAATAACCGCACGTAGAGTTAAAAAAATATATGAAAAATAGACGATATTTTCTTACGCTTTCTATTCCATCTTCAAATTCATTTGCGTCTTTCCCTTCAACTTAGCGTTTCAAGGTTATTTAATTAAAAGAGGCGATTCTGCTATCGAATTTTGTCACATTGGTATGTCTACGTAAAGGAAAAGGGAAACCATAATGAATTATAATGGACGGCTCATTCAATTCAAAGGATGGATCCATAACATTCGTTTTTTCAAAGTTATTCTTTTAAATGCTGGTGGTTGGTGCGGTGCTTATGGGATTAATAGTTCCTTATATTTATATAAAAAAAGAAATGCTCGAACGCGGCATCGAAAATTGGAATTTCAAAATGGCCCACATTGACCACACTAACAGTCGACGTTTTAAAGAAGTAATCTACATTTTTTTCCTTTGTAAAAAGTACCTCTAAATCGCAAGTTAAATATCTGACTTAGTTCAAAATGACTTGAATTTTTTACAAAAATTTTGCGATGCGTAAGATTCTCTTAAGTCAAATTTTATAGCTAGATGTGCCCGGTTTTAGGAACATGTTACACGTGAAGTTCCTGAACGTGCAGTCGTTCCTCAAGTCTCAACCTGTCCTCAGACACCAGTAGAAGACGAGGTCAGGTTCGTTGATATACTTGTGGAGAACATCACATTTAGGATTGCAGTTATGTCTTCACAGATCCGCGCTAAAAACATCGGTTGGTTAGCAGAACAGGCAGCTTTAAAGTACGAAAGGTAAGCTGACATATTCAGTATTTTCTATTATTAAAACGTGATAGTTTCAACAGTATCAGCATCTTAAAATAATTTCCTGCAAGTTTACTAAGCTTTGAGGTGCTGACAAGTCCTTCAAGTTTTGATTTTGTTTCAGGAAAGAATGCAAAAAGCCGGTATTGGAGCTTCAGTCTAGCACAGGTGCCTTGTTATCTGACAGTGACCCTTTACAAATGCTTTTCGTAAATGGAAGGCAAGCTGAATCTGTCGTAGGCAAAGTAGTAAAGGTGATACTACCTCCTCTGGTTGATAGATACAAAGAAATGTGTGCATATTTAAATGTTGGTAAGTTTTACTCTGTCTTCAAACTCATAAAACATCACTTTAAGTGGCAATATTTTCGAAAAGTTAGATCTGTAGTTGCTTCCGTTTTGCAAGTGAATGCCGGTCCAAACAGGCTGTCATGACTGGCTCACTTCAAAATTGAAGAACAGCAGAGATAAGCTTAATCAGAACATAACGTGAAAAATAGACATTTCTTAAGTGTTTTTAATTTGTTTCATATTGGAGCTACACTCAAAAATAACATTTTTATTTTGTTAAATGTCATGGATCTCCCCCTTCCACTTCTCTTTTTCGTGGCCTTCACAGATTTGTATGTAAGAAAATATCTCAACCTAAAAGATTCAAGTCATGGCAAATCTCACTTGGGTGAGGGGGGAGAAAGGAATCTCACTTCATTTAAACTCGGTTTTGATAAAACAAACGGTCAATAATCTGAGGTGAACTTCTCTCAGATTGTGTGTGAAACGAACGCAACTACATATTTTCTTTACATACGTATACAAGGTGTCTGAAAAGTTCCGGAGTCCCACGATATTTTGTGATTTCATGGTATGAAAAACTATACTAAGTAATTGATGGGAGTTTTTCCCAACTATCCAATGGCGACCTTGGTTTGTCGTTGTTTATGACCTTCAAGGTCATTTGAAGGTCAAGTCGATTTTTTTGTTTACCCCGTAAATTCAAAGTGCGAAAAATTTTGCGTTCAAATATGGTCTTGACCATTCTTACATTTTGACCTTAAGAGGTCATGGTCAAGGTCACACCCAGGTATGGTGATATAACTTGAAAACCAATAGTCGTATTGGGAAAGCACCCAGACATTATTTTCATGACTTTTGATCGGATGTCCAATGATGACCTTCCATCTGACCTTAACCATGATGACCATCAAGGTCATGTAAAGGTCAAGTCGATGTTTGTAGCCAGTGAAACATCTTGAAAGAACCTTGAAGTCAGTTTATCTGGAGATAACACAGTTTTCTGAATTATCCATAAATTAAGGTATACTTGTGTTTGACCTTGATGGTCAAGTCCAAGTTCTAGAGATGGCCAAGGACATATTAGAACATAAAATTTTCCCTTATGTCCACTTCCGCAGCGAAAAGTATGATCTCATGAAAAAAGAGTTGACCTCCAAATGACCTTGAAGTTCAGACGACAAAATACCATATTTACCGTTTTTCTCCATTTACGGATCCAAGAATGGCGGTTCCATTTAAAACAAATCGACTTGATCTTCAAATGACCTTGTAGGTTATGGTTACGGTCAAATCCAAGGTCACCATTGGGTAGCTGGGGAAAAATCATGACAATGTGTCGGTAGTTTCCCTATACGACCACTGGCCTTCAAGTTATATCGTCGTACCTGGGTTCACCTTCACCATGACCTCCTAAAGTCAAAATTTAAAAATGGCCAAGACCATTTTTTCCGCTTTATTAATTTACAGGGCCAAAAATGGGAGGTTCCATTTAAAAGAATCGACGTGATCTTCAAAAGACCTTGGAGGTCATGGTTAAGGTCAGATCCAAGGTCAACATTGGATATCCGGAGAAAAATCATGAAAATAATGTGTCGGTAGTTTCCTTATGCGACTACTTGCTTCCAAGTTATATCACCGTACCTGGGTTTGACCTTGACGATGACCTCATAAAATCCAAATTTGAGGATGGTCAAGACCATATTTTCCACGTTTCCATTTACGGGGTCAAAATGGGTGGATCCATTTAAAAGAATCGACTTGATCTTCAAATGAGCTTGCAGGTCTAGGTCAAATCGAAGGTCATCATTGATAGCAGGGGAACTTTTCAGCATTTATCACACATATTTTTTCTCCGAGACCGATGTCGCCGTAAAAAACTAGCAACTGCAACCTGACGGCAATCCGACTTGAGTATTAAAATACAAGCGTTCACAACGCCATCTGCAACCATTCCTTATTTGTCGAACGAGAAGGTCGAATGGTTCAGCAAATTTGGGATCTCGTTTCGAGATCGGTGTCGAATGTGATATTCACTCATGCCACACTGGAGTTTTGTGATTCTTGTCATCGCTTGCCGCTGTAATTTTGTCAAGTAATTAAATACTTCATTAATTGAGACGGTTATTAGAAAATAAATATATGATATAAAAAATAACCAAGAAAAACTAAGTATTTTTAAGCAAGCTCCTACTTTGCAGTGGTGGCTCGTGAGGTAGTGCCACGGTGCCATGGCACTACCTTGTCTTCTTCAAAAAGAATATTTTTTTCAATCTTCAATGTTTTACTTTATTTTCTGCTTTTTCATTTTTTTTGGTATAAATTATATGACGTGACAACACTGACAACGTGACAACACCGCAAGCACCCGCCCGCACCCGACCGACGCGACGAGACGGAAAGCATGCCTTGACCTTGACGTCATCAACTTGTGCCAATTTTGGGCCGGCCCAAATAAAAAGAGAAATTTTACTAGCATCGCATACGAGCGACAGAGATAACGCTACGCTAGACATTTTTATATGAGGTGAATAGCGAAAGACAAGTATAATTTGTGCCAGGCACATCATCAGTCGTAATTCGTTATCAAATGATATCGGCGGTGTTTTTGTTGGGTCGGTCGTTTCGTTATGATTACGTCTAGTGCTGATTTCGGTCTTTTTTTACCTGAAAAGTGAGAAATAACGTTTTTGTTTTAGTACGTCTAGTGTTAATGAACTGCTCTGTTTTGTGATCATATTTTATACTGTTTTATTAAAACTAGTGAAAATGAATAAAATCGGGATATTAAAAAACTCATTTAGTGGTTTTTCGCTGGATCAAAAACTGCAAATTAAAGAATTACCCGGCCAATACCCGATTTAAAAATTGAGAAACAAAGTGGTAGCGGACAAAAATCGCGCTGTCGCAAATTTAATAAAAACAGCTGGATATGTGGTTATGAAGAAACGAATAAACTATTTTGTTTTGTATGTGTTCTATTTGGAGGTGACGAGACTTGGTCAAAAAAAGGTACAGACGATCTTATACATATATGGGATAAAATGAAGACCCACGAAAAATCTAAAGTCCATATGAATAATGTTTTTAGCTTTTCTATTCTTGGTAAATTAAATATAAGGACTCAACTCAATTCGGCTTATCGCAATGATCTAATTAAACATAATAATCAAGTGGATAAGAATCGATATGTATTGAATAAAATTATTAATTGTATAAGGTTTTGTGGAGCATTTGAGTTAGCCTTAAGGGGTCATGATGAAAAGGAAAATTCGGAAAACAGAGGCATATTTAAGGAGCTGGTGAATTTTGTATTTTGGCTAAGTATTTTCCATAAAATAATGCCACATATTGAAATTGTCTTTAACCAATTACAAAAAGTATGTACCGATTCTATTAAGGTCAAAAATGATTTAGAGAATTTTGAAGCAGCAATTCAAACTATACGAGAACAAATGGATAGCATTATTGACGAGATTGAACGAGTGCAGAGAGAAACTGATGAACCGGCAAGAAAAAAAGGCAAGTTGAAGAAGGCAGCAAAAAACGGGAAGCGTTAGAAATATGCGATGCAGTATTATCGCAAATAAGAACAAGATTTAACTTTTCTGGGCATTTAGTTGCTTCTAATTTATTTGTGTCTGAAAAGTTTTCTGTTTATAAACATTAGTTTCCTGAAGCACATTTAAATGACACATGCACACAATTTTCATTTTTAGACAAAAACAGGCTTAAAACTGAGTTACAAGTATTATATCAGAGAGAAGAATTGAGTACTACTTCTGGAGCTGTTCCACTATCCATTTTATTGAACGAGGAAGGATTAAATTGTACGTTTCAAGAAACTCTTAAGCTCTTAAGTATTTTAATCACTATACCGATGTCAACATCTGAAGCAGAACGCTCTTTTTCAATGCTGAAACGGATTAAAACTTTCCTCAGAAACACAATGAAGGAAGAAAGGCTTAGTGCTTTAGGAATGCTGTCTGCAGAAAAACATTTTGTTAGTGGCATTGAAAATTTTAATAATAAGGTAATCGAAAACTTTGCTACCAAAAAAGAAAGAAGAATGGACTTCATATATAGAAAACTTTGAAGTTATAGGTTACATATATATATACACTTGTTTTATAATTTGGTGCTCGTGTGTAAATAGTTTTATTTTTGATTTTTTTTTGGACATATAGATTTATTGAACCTCAAGAACTTTGACCACTAACTATCAGGGTAAGTTATAAGTTATTCTTTACAATTTTGAATCGATTCAAAATTATGGCTTCCATTCTGGCACTACCTCACTGAATTGGCACGAGCCGCCACTGCTACTTTGTCGTCTGTCATTTTGTCGATTGCTATTCATGCAGGCACTTCTTGAGTTTCCTGCTACATATTATCTATTTCGCATGCGATATTGATTTTTCGACATTCAAGAAAACCATCCATACTCGAGAAGAAATATGCTTGCATACGAGGTGTTATTTTTCGCAGATTTTTTATTTCACATATGTTATGTATTGAGAGTTTCTTGGAAATAAAAAATGCTGATTGATCTGACCAAATGTACCTGTTGCCTATACGACTTTTTCCAATCAGCGCTTTTTATAAAGAAAATCGTTTATCTTCCGCCATCCCAGTAGTAAGTATATATTCAGTAACCTTATCTACAATCCACAACCCCAAAACGAGTCTTCCAGTTGCTTAACAGTTGTTTCAGTGAGTATGTAAAAGCTCAGCTACTGAAGTCGAAATCGAGCCGACGTCGGATTGTTGCCATGTTGCTTTTGGGAAGAACACTGCCTTTGAGTTGAAGCTTTTCAAATTTTCAGATGTCGAAGAAGACCTGTGCACCAAACTGGAAGAAGTTTTCACTTCACTCAGTTTACAAGATAATGGCATGTTCGGAGAATCACTTACTCCCCTATGCAAAGCTATCACCCACCAATCGAGTCTCCTAGAACTGAATTTATCTGGAAACTCTTTGGACATTGAAACCTTTCAAACGCTATGCCTCACCCTACCGACGCTCACCAACCTTATGACGCTCAATTTGAGGAATACTGGCCTGACGTTGAGCCATTTGCACCATATGGCTTTTTTAGAGACCTCCTGTCAGTCGGTATTGAAGAATCTCACAAATCTCGATTTGAGCGATAACCCACTAGGCAACCAAAGTCTGCACTGTTTGTCCCGCCTAACTGAGCGTTTTACCCTGACGCACATAAGCTTGTCAAACGTCAAACTTGTCAGTCCGTTGCGCCTTGGTGGGGAGACGGCGCTTCACCTTAGCGAAGTGGTGGAACTAGATATAAGCAATAATTGTTTGAACGAGTCTGATTTGGCGGCGATATTCCAACGTTTGACTGGTACCAAGGTGACGTCGCTGAATCTGTCGAATAATGATAGCAAGGATGTGGTCGGGGCCTTGACACGTTTGTTGGAAATGCCGAGTTTGAGGGTTGGGATTTTCAGTAGGTGCAACGTGAACGACAGGCAGTTGGACGAACTTCTGAGGTAAGTTTTACTTTCCACGCGAACTGGTGGGGAATGATTTTAAGTTTTGCATATAGAAACATAGTAGGCCGCGCGGATCGAACGTCAGTACTGAATCTTAACCTCACTCTTTAGTAAACTTAAATTCAAAGTTTCACAACAATACGTGCAGTATTCTCACTACAGTGAATTTTTAAGTGTTACCAAGTCATTAGAAAAATGGAACTCAACCGAGAACATTTTCGCGCCATAATTTATTACAACTTTCAGAGACAATTATCGCAACAAGAATGCCTTGTTGTCTGTTTTCGGCAACGAAGCGCCACATCAGTCGACAATTTCACGTTGGTATGGTGAATTCAAACGTGGACGGGTGAGTCTTAGCGACGATTCCAGGGTGGGTGCACCAAAAACGGCAGTCACCCAGGAAAACGTCAATGCTGTGCGCAAACTCATCATTGAAGATAGACATGTGACATATCGCGAGATTGACGCGTCCTTGAAGATCTCGAATGACCTCAATTCAAAAAATTTTACATGAAGAATTAGGAGTAAGAAAATTAGTTTCTCGTTGGATACCCCACCTGATGACTGAAGAGCAGAAAACAGCCAGTGTTAATTGGTGTCAAAAAACGCTTGAGTTTCAATTCCGGAAACTCAAAAAATGTGTACAGCATTGTTAGTGGTGATGAATCGTGGATTTACTGTTACGAACCAGAAAATAAACGACAGTCTGCTGTTTGGGTGTTCCAAGGTGAAGAAAAGCCAACAAAAGTCATCCGTTCTCGAAGTGTTTCGAAAAAGATGGTCGCGACATTTGTGTCAAAAGCGGGTCATATTGCAACAATTCGTCTTAATGAACAAAGAACTGTTACTGCGGATTGGTACACCACCATTTGTTTGCCAAAAGTCATCACCGAGCTTCGAAAAATCAACCCCGAAAGAGGAATCATCCTCCACCAAGACAATGCAAGCTCGCACACAGCCCAAAAAACAAGGCAGTATTTAACGGAAGAAAACGTGGAATTATTGGACCATCCCCCATTAGTCCCGATCTAAGAAATCGTTAGGATTTCTCTACTTTCCCGAAAATTAAAAACAGACTGCGTGGTCAAAGGTTCAAGTCACCAGAAGAAGCAGTTGACGCATTCAAAAATGCCGTTTTGGATCTGCCAGCAAACGAGTGGAATAAGTGCTTCGAAAATCGGTTCAAGCGCATGCAGATGTGTATTAATCTTCGTGGAGAATACTTCGAAAAACAATGAAGTCATTTAAAACTACCTACCGTGTTGTTTTATTTCCATATGCAAAACTTAAAAGACATCCCTCGTAGCAAAGATTTTCGATAACGAAATATTATGTTCTTTAGATGTTACATCACGAAAAACCATGTCACTCATCTCCGTTTGTCGGTCTGTCCTCTAATCCTATAAGCGCCTATAACTTGAGAAGTACGACTCGGATTCTGATGAAATTTTTACACAATGTTACTACTATGCCAATACAGAAGATCTACGTGAGCAATCCCAGTAGAGACTCCTAGTTTTTAAAAGTACATAAGGCAGCTCAATCGGATTAACAAAATTTCAGGCTGAGTGGAACGATGGCAGGCCGCGCTGTTGCCGGCTTTACTTTGACGGTGGGGTTTTGGTTCTTGACGCGACGGCTGATTACAAAATTGATAATAAGTTTGCGGATAACACCATGCCCATAACCTTCCTGGGGTTAGTAAGGTTACACATTTTTACGCCTCAGCAAAACCCGTCAAAAGAGCTTAATTCCATCCTGTTTGGTATAAATGTAGCGTTTTATAAATATTTTATGGCAGTTTGGCAACACCGCCTCGGTAGCCAAGGACGATCCGCATATACAGGGTGTCCAATAAGTACCACGACAAACTTAAGCAGAAGGTAGGCTTTGGACTGAACTCCCAAATAACAAAAACTTACCTATACAGGGTGACTTTGAAGTTGAGTCATTAATTTTCAGATAATGATTGTAGAAGGAAGATAAACCAAAATATGTGTAAAAAAATAAAAAAAAATTAAAAAAAAAATTACCTTGTTTTATAAAGTATCCTCCCAACAAGTATTTCAGTGCGGACCTGTATTTGATCGTGAGGTCTTGGAGCACCGGCATGCCCTCTCCTATGAGGTCTTAAGTCACCTGATTCACGAGCCCGTTGTACTACATTAACAAAGGCACGAGGGGTTGGTTGCACTCGATTGGGAAACCGATCCGCATAAACATGTGCCATTTTTTATTTCGTTTGAGCCACGCAGCAAACACCACTATTCACTCACGCGTTACCGACTGACACATCGACTGAATAAAAACATCGTGATCAGCGTTTCAAATTCTTTCGCTTTTTTGTTTCCGATGGGATGAACCGATAAGGCGGATTATATCCGTTGTTGCCAAACACGAGCACATAATATTATTATTGAGACAGGGCGGTACTCAAACTTCTAAAGGGCTATAACTTTGTTACTTTAATTTTACCACAAAAATGTTAAAGGAAAAAAACATTTCTTTTGATCAGATCTACTCACTGTTAAAATAAATGACTCAACTTCTAAGTCACCCTGTATAAAAGTGTCACCGTTTTTGAGATATTGAATTTTTTCTTAAATTTTAAGAAACGAACCTTTTCATTTGTGGTCTCTAGCTGCCTGTACAAATAAGGTAATACTTTGTTCATTTTCTCTATAAAATACTTCTAGATAGTTGCTTTATCATATACAGTAGTTAAAAGATACTAAGGAACCATGATCACATAAGGACTATTTAGGGATTTATAACTTTCTGAACTGCATTGCATTTGTATATGATAAAGCAACTATCTAGAAGCATTTTATAGAAAAACTGAACGAAGTACAACCTTATTTGTACGTGCAGCTAAAGACCACAGATGAAAAGGTTCGTTTTTTTCAAATTTAAGAAAAATATCAACATCTCAAAAACGGTGACACTTTTATATATATTAGGTGAGTTTTTGTTATTTGGCAGGTCAGCCCAAAGCATACATTCTCCTTAAGTTCGTCGTGGTACTTATTGGACACCCTGTAGATCACTGTTTTTATTTGTATATCAGTCCAAGAGCCGACCGCAAAGTTTGGATTACATCACGTACTGATATGAAATAACTCATGTATTTTGATGCTAAACAGCAAACTCGGCAAGTCTGCTTTTGACATCGAAATACGACACTAGTTCGGCTACGGTTTGGTCTAACCATTTATTTATATTTCAGATTTAGCACAGCTGTGGAAATGTTGGAATTGTCATACAACCCTCTACTCACTGGCATTTCTTTGAAAAAAATTTTGGAGTGTTCGAATTTGCGCCAGGTACACCTAGTGCATTGTGATGGTATTTTAGTTAACTGCGATGTATTTGAGGTTAATAAGTTCTTAGAACACAGTGGTGTCAGGAATCTAGTAATAACATCAGATATCGATGAGATCTATCCATGTCAAGATTTAATTGAAGCTTTTCAAAGAAAATATAGCGATTCAGTTGTAACGAAAACTGAAAGTTACTTAGGCCTTAGAACTGGCTGATTTGGTACTGTTACCTAGTGGTAAATAGTCGATTCATCTGAATTGTTACAGTGGATATGAAATAAGTATATTTTCATTCGAAAATATCGTTTTAGTTTTTTAATATGCTTAACCGGCTGGTGGAAGACTGATTTTTTTTAATTTTACACAAAGCATTTTGTACTGTTATTTTTGAAATTCGTTGTTTAAGTGAAACTTATAAATAAAAGTAATGTTATGTTAACTGCTTCTCAATTCCCACTTATTAAAATGAAACTTGTCTGGTTGATTGGAGTAGTTGCAATGCAAATAACGCCATATTTGCTCGGTTTCAAAACGCTAAGCGTTTTTACCTGCCTAAGCGCATATCGATCTACAACAATATAGTACTTGGTCACTAACTTAAAGGATTGGAGTATAGTGAGTCTAAAGGCAGTAATATCTTACGTTGCTAATACAGGGTGGCCAATATATAACTGACTAATTTAAATTGCGCGCCATTTTTGATATACGCAGTTCAGTAGGTGGCGCCGTAGTAGTCGTTTAAAGCACATGTGTGTCCAATTCATAATGGAGCGCTACACGATCCACACAAGCTTCATAACGACGAACACAGTTTTTTCTTACTCTAGGCCCTCGAAGTTGTCCATTTATTATTTCAGCCGCATTAAAAATGTTTTCGCGAAGTTGTGCTTCAGTTATTGGACCAGCCTCATAAACCATCCCTTTAAGTTCTCCCCAATACCAGAAATCCATCGGACTGAGGTCAGGAGATCTTGCTGGTCATTTTCGCGGATCAGGAGCATTTCGACCAATCCAGCGATTTGGATAATGTTCATTCAAATACTGAATGACTCCTCTAAAAATGTGTGGTGGTGCCCCGTCATGAAGAAACCACAAATTCTGTCTCCGTTGTAATGGCATGTTGTCTAAGGTCTGTTCCAAAAGTTCTGGTAGGTTATTGGCTAGAAAGCTAAGGTATCCTTCTCCTGACAACTTTGGGGGTAGCTCGAAAGGGCCAATTACCTGATCGTCAAGAATACCCGCCCAAATATTTATTTTAAAACGTTGTTGGAAATGGCCTTCACGAATGGTATGAGGATTTTCTTGGGCCCACGTGCGAGTATTATGGAAATTTAATATCCCGTCTCGCGTAAAAGTACATTCGTCCGTCGCTAGAATGTTTTTAAAAAAATCCGGATTCTCACTGTTTTTGTGCAAAAACCACTGACAGAATGTTAGTCTGCGAGGATAGTCTTCTGGACACAAGACCTGCACTCGTTGTACATGGTAGGGATAAAGCAAATTTTCCCGTAGGATTCCATGGAATATGGTATGCGATAGTCCTACGCGGCGGTCTAATTCCCGAGTGCTGATATTTGCATTGATTTCCACGATATTTAAAATTTGTTCCTCCTGCTCTACAGTGACCTGTCTTTCACGAGTACGAATATTAGTGGGCTGAACACTTCCTGTATCTCGAAGTCTTTGGTACACTTGCACAAATGTCCTTCTGTCTGGGTGTACCCGACAACATGTCGGCAAACTCTTGATTCGACAACATTGTAAATAAACACGACGACGTACGCGAACAAAAACAAAACAACATACTAACCACTGTTACCGTTTGCGATCGATTACCGGTTCGATAAGAGTGATGAAGGACCGACGCGCTGTTGTCATGTGTGTTTTAAATATTTAATTTAATGAAACTTGCTGACTACAAATTTTGGCTCAACTTAGAAAAACTTAATGCCATTTATTTGTTAATCACCCAATTTAAAAACGTTTTAGATTAGATTATAAAAATTAGTAAGATTGTGGTGATTGTGGTCGCTAGAAAGCACTTAAAGTTGTAAAGTATAAAACCATTTAGACAAAAATCTATTGACTTTTGGACCATGGGTCATGTGAACTTTTTGACTTGTTTTGACTCCCCTTATTACCCATTTCAATAATGACTACCATAAAGTTTACACCCTGTAGATCACCGTCGCACTTTAAGTAACGCGCGTGATACGAATGGTATAAGGTTTATTTATTAATAATTTTATCGTTAGGGGTAAGTTATGCTACACAAATTTGTGAAACCAGAAAGCCAATGAAGAAAACGCCGAAAGAGATGCATTGGGTGTTATAAGAAGCTAAGGGAAACGCTTGACAGTCGAGCTGCAGATAAAAAGGCCAGTAAGGTACTGCCTTTAATGTTTCAATGACACACACAGAGTGTGAGATACGAGTATATATAGAAGTCATACAAAGAATCATCCAAGAATGAAATTGTTTCAGTTTGTTACTTGTACCTCCTGCTCTTGCAACAAATAGATGTACTTTGTCAGAATAATAAACAATTCCAAAATTAGCGAAATGTCCTTATGTAAATGGAAACTTTGGCTCCCCATAAACAAGTTGCCTATGGGTCCCTGGGGTCACGAGCCGTACAAAAAAGATGTTACGGTACGAGACAGTAAGGGTACGAACCGTTCATCAGCTACAACCACAAAAATGCCCAAGAACTACAGCCTAGTGACCATGAAAGTCTCCGACAATACAGTCATGCAATATTGCAGCTTAATACCCAAAATAACGAAATGGCAGACCAGGTAGTTTTTATGTGGCAAATAGTTCATTCCACGTTTGCTCGCTATGATCTATGGAGGAATGACCCAACTCCACGCATTGTTGGTTGCAAAGAGCAAGCTTATGTCTTGTGAACCCAAGTAGTCTGTAGAGAAGACGTGAAAGAAAGTTGGTTGAATAGGAAGATCGCATCTGGATGATTATGCGTATTGAGCTGCATGTGTATAAAATCAGTGATATCTGCTATGTGAGAAAATTATTACTGAGTATGCTGCCAAAGAAGTATATAAATTAGCTGTGCCCGACGGGTTATTTATATGTGCACCTTTCCGAAGGTTCAAAGTTACAAATTACGATTTTTCCCGTTTTTTTGTGTTTTAAAAACTTTGAGGAGCATCACACATCATAGAAACATTAAATGACGCATGACGTGTTCGTATACCTCCTGTTCCCACCAGCTGATCTACAGGGTTTGTCCGGAAAGCAATAGGACTCATTTTCTTCCGCCATGACTGTACTTCGGAGCGTACGCGCACCGACTGGATTCGGTAGAGGGCGTTCCTAGCTAACGAATGAGCGGCTGGTCAGTTACCTCCGAGCACTTGGAGAGTCAGGACAGGCATTTTCGCGCGACGTGTTTCTGTGAGTGGTGCAAGCCGAAAATGCAGCGTTCGTTAGAGCAGAGGTACGCGATTAAATTCTGTTTGCATCAGGCCTTTTTGGAGGGCGCTGTTAAATTTACCAAAATCTGTGGTTCATGACATTGTGACACAGCATTTGAACATGCGCAAGGTGTGCGCGAATATGGTCCCAAAAGTGCTCACTGACGACCAGAAATTGCGGCGAGTGGAAGTGTGCCAAGAAGAATTGAACATGTGTGAAAGTGACCCCCAATTTTTGAATAACGTAATCACAGGTGACGGGTCGTGGATCTTGAGTATGATCCCGAGACAAAGAGGCAATCTTCCGAGTGGCACACGACGGCGTCTCCTCGCCCAAAAAAGGGAAGAATGAGCAAATCCAAAGTGAAAACGATGCTCATTGTCTTTTTTGACATCAAAGGCAAACGAAGGGTCAGTCGGGTCCGACAAGACATCACAGCCGACTGGAAGTTGCATCCCAACGCTTCCGCAGCCGCCCTACAGCCCAGATGTGGCCCCCCGGACTTTTTTGTTTCCTCGCCTGAAAAGTCCAATGAAAGGCAAGCATTTTGTGATGACAGAGGTGAGATCCAAGCAGCATGCACCGCGGCTCTCAAGGCTATTCCGGAGAATTCCTTCCGTGACACCTTCAATGCTTGGAAATCGCGCTGGCAGCGCTGCATCGACGCAGGAGCCTATTTTGAAAGTTTTTAAAGAATTGTAACGATTGGCTCAATAAACTTTTTTAAATCGACTCAGTCCTATTACTTTCCGGACAAACCCTGTATTTTGTTGCTGATAAAAAGCCTAAATCAAAGGCGAACGGTAATTCCTGTCTTAACGTCAGATTTCCACCAGGCTTATTGAATTGACTATGAATTGGTGGCTATATCAGAAGGTCTCTAGCCCGCAAATGGTTAAAAGGGCGTTCTGTTCTCTTTGTCACTGACAATATTATCGTCTTACCCTCGTATCTTGGCTTAACGAGAGCGTCGCGGCGCCTTCCTGGCGCCGTCCGTCTCCAAATGCAGCATCCCCGATTTGCTTCTCCAGTTTAACGTCTAGCATCCGCCAAAATGAGAAACTTATCGATATTGCTTCAATTTCGATAAATGGGGTGATTTGTGAATAATTAGAGGATAATATTTGTGGCACTATGGAAGGAGATAGTAGAAGGATACGATTTTTTTGGTTCCTGGTTATGTTTTTCAATTTCGTAAGTATGAGCATTTTCTTTATTACTGTGTGAAGGTTGAACGTGTTTGATGAGATCTTGTCATTTCTGCAAGTATGAATAATTTCTTAAACTTCATATAGCGACCTAATATGTAGATGCCTATTGTCTCTTACTTAGTGTCATAAAAAATATGAAATGCTTTTAATACAAAAATGTTCACTTGAGTTTTTGACCATAGCCACTAAAGGCAAAAAAAAAATCGCATCGTTACAAAATATATTAAATAAGATCTGGTATATTCCAAAATATTTGCATCTCTTCTCAAGATATGTATATCTACAAGAAACAAAGGAAAGTTATAGACGGACAATTTTTCGAAACGTTACTGACAATAGATGCAGACGGATTGTTGTATTTTTCTAATATTGTAAAATGTTCTATGCCAAATATCAACTATTCAACTCGTAAAGCTGAAAATTGTAAGCTAACTTACGGGACCTGCATAATATACGAATTAAATACGCCATTTTATTTGAGTTGAAGCAAACTATTTAGTATCCAGCACATTGCGAATGTTGACATATACTATCATGTGACTGCACATCAGACAGGGTGATCAAAAAAGAGTTGTTATATCAAAAACAAAGAAACAAGTTAAAAAATAACAAACAGTTGTTTAAATAGCAACTTAGCAGCAAATGTGTAATTCATTTATATACTAAGTGACATATAAATCCGAACACCCAGTTTAAATGGTTTTATTTTAATAAAATTTTGTATAAGTACTTAATGAAGCATAATAAGTAAATGATAAAAATTTCAAAATGATTGCACTGCTTTAAAGCCCTTTGACCTTTAATAATGTGTGGATGCACCCTGATGTGCTACGCATTCTCCAACGCGCCTAGGCATGCTTCTGATCAGGTGGTCAATGTCCTACTGTGGTATCTCATTCCAGGCAACCAGCAACTCCTCTCGGAGTGCTTCTAGAGTCTGAGGAGGACGTTGCAAATTGAGCAATCTCCTACCCATCATATCCCACACGTGCTTAATTGGGGATAAGTCGGGAGATCTTGGTGGCCATGGTAACAATGTGACATCATTATGTTGAAAGAAGTCTATTGTGACTCTTGCAACATGTGGTCGGGCATTATCTTGTTGGAAAGTTGGATCTGCCAGGGTGTCAAGATAGGGTAAAAGATGGGGTTCTAGAACTTCGTGGATATAACGCTGTGCGTTCATGTTACCTCTGATGAAGATTAAAGGTGACCTGGAACCATAAGCTATAGCACCCCAAATCATAACTCCAACAGTGTGATGAACATGTCTTTCAACAAAAAACTGTGGATTCCTCCTTTCACCACGTCGCCTTCTAACCCTGGCACGACCATCGTGCATGCCTAAACAAAATCGAGACTCGTCACTAAAGACAATACTGTTCCATTCCTGATCCCAGAGTGACCGTTGTCTGCACCACTCAAGGCGATTACGTCGGTGTTCTCGAGTTAAAGGGAGGTCCCATTGTGGCCGGTATGAAAACGAGCCAAAACTTCTCATTCGTCGGTAAACACTTCGCATGCCAATAGGTCTTCCGTGTTCTGCAAACCATTCATTTGCAATGGACCTGTTAGTGGAGAAACGGTCCCTTAAGGCCAATAATCTTAGGCGGCGATCTTCACGGCCTGTTGTTCTACGGCGGCGTCCAGTGCCCCTTGCTCTTTGCGTACGGCCTTCTCGAAGCCATGCCTGGCAACACCTAACCACAGTGTCTACACTTCTTTGCACTCTAACTGCAATTGCCCGAAAAGAAAGTCCAGCTTCCCGAAGTCCCACTATACGGCCCCTATCAAACTCACTAAGTTGACGAAATCGTACAGGTCTCCATACTCTAGGCATCGTAACCGATCGTAAAGGATGTCAAGAACCAAAATCCGCCAACGTTGATTCTTTACTGCGGCTGAAATATTCATTTTTAGAGCGTTAGTGAATTAAAAAAAAGCACTATAAAAACCGGAATGTCCAACTGATAAGGCTGAAAATTTTTTCACTTGTTATTTACAGTAAGATAAATACATTCACCAACTTTTATTAAAATAAAACCATTTAAACTGGGTGTTCGGATTTATATGTCTTTTAGTATACAAAAGCTATACCATGATGGCTTTATATGTTTTTTCTTCAGGTATTCGCTGTTTCTGGTGTGTTGCTATGCACAATAAAATTGAGACTAAGCGAGGAAGAGGACGTCAGAGTGGGGTTTTTCAAAATGTCCATGGTTTTTGCTTCTTGCAATTTGATACTTAGCGTGTTTCTCCTCGTTTCTATACTACGGGTAAGTCCATATTGATTTCAACGCTATCTTTGAAAAATACGTGATAGAAGTACTCTTTACCTTTTTTGATTAGAACTAGGGATTAATTCAGCAATTTCGAACTGAGCTTTTGTCAATCCGTATCATGATTTTTCTTTGTTCGTTCATAGAAACCATGTGAGTACAAGCGTTTTGACAACAATGAACATTGAGTAGTACGGAGTTTCAAGCTTGTACTTTGAAAAAAAATTGAATCTAAACTATCAAACTGAAGCTTAAGTAGGTGCTTCTATCTTGTACGTATCTATATATCCAAGAATAACATGTCTATCTCTTGTATACGTATAAAACACAAAAAATAACACCACAATATCCTATAAAAATTACCCTACGGGGCTTCCCCATCGGGATCGATTTTCTAATCAGAGGCACAAAATTACGCCTAGAGCACACACTCGACCAATGAGAAGGCATTTTTGAGGTCTATATATACATAGTCGATTTCTTGAAAAATATCTCACAAACTACAGAAACATTGTACAGTTTATGCAAGATGGCCCCCTATCTCCCCAATTCCCATGTTGAATAATGAAATACTTTATAAATTGCCTGGATTAGCTGCTAAAACCTATTTTTTCATTTGAACCCGTGCACAAAGTTTGCGGCTAGTGGCACAGACTCCACCAATAAAAAAGAAGAATTTGTGCTTTACTAGAAGCATGGATTAAATCTGTTATAATATCTAGATTTATATGACAGCAAGTACTTTGCATTTTAGTGGACATAACAGTGTCACTAAGTGAGAGAGATAATTTTGAAAAAAAAGATACATTTTTACAATTCATTATGTCCATTGAGTTGCCATACACTGTAGTTTGTGGATATAACCCGCTGTTTCCCGCTATTTATAATAAAGGGGGGGGGGGAGAGGTGTGCAACGTATGTTGTTTGTTAGTATATCTGTATATACAGGGTGCCTGAAAAGTTCCGGAACTCCACGATAATTTGTGAACCAATAATGGTATGAAAAAAGTAAGTCCAGCAATTGGCCATTCACTAGTAACCTTGGATTTGACGTTCAAGGTCATTTTTTATTAAGCGGAACGCCTATTTTTGACCTCGTAAATGGAAAGGTCGGAAAATTTCACGTCAAATATGGTCGTGACCATTCTCAAAATCTGACACGTAGCGGTCAAGGTCAAACCCAGGTACGGTGATATCTTGAAAACCAGTAGTCGTATAGGGAAACTACCGAGTCATGGTTTTCATGATTTTTTCCCGGGTGAACTCCAAGGTCATGTGAAGCTTATGTTAATTTTTGAAGCCTGAAAGAACAGTGAAATCAATCCATCTGGGGATTACACAGTTTTCTGAATTATCATCATCTTATGTTTGACCTTGATGGTTATGTCCAAGGTCAGTTGTAAAAAAGGTCGAGGAATATAAATTTTTCCATTTTCTCCAATTTCGCTCCGATTTTTGCGATCAGAAGTAAAAGGTCTCATTAAAAAAAAGAGTTCAATTTCAAATGACCTTGTAAGTCATGGCCAAGGTCATCATATCATGTTTTTGGGTAGAGAGCTCCAGAGGATATTTTTTATACGAACATTATTTTTTTCTTTTATATGTATAAGAGATCAGATTGATATGTTATCCTGGTACGGTCTGTATAACCTGTATGTTTTACAGCGAGATGAAAGGTATGCCTTTCTGTACGCAATACTGATTTTCTTGAGTCTTTTCGCTGCTACCATCCATATAGAAAGTCATACTAGGCACGACTTCACCATGCTTGTAATATTTGCAGTATTCGGTACGTATACTTACGAACTTTTGCGATTCTGCATTCCCCTTGTATAGGTTACATTAGAAAAACAACATAGCTTTACGCAAGTGGCTATTTGCATCAACGAATTCGAATTGGATAGAGGGTAGTGTTATTGTCACCAAAATTACGTAGTTTTAGTGCATACCTTGCGTACGATTGCCTACCAAAGTGACAAACCTACGCATCGACGTTCGGGGTGTCACGCTATGAACTGAGCCTCTATTAGCTTTTTAAAAAGAAGGGTATTATATAAAGTTTTTGAGGCAATTTCTTAAGGGGGATAGTGCTATAGAATACAATTACATTTATTAAATTTCTTTCATTTCATTTATTTATTAGTTCTGTTATACCACCATAAGACGACACAGAACACGTCAATGGAAACAATACAGTAAAAAATATACAGAAAATAAATAAGTAGATAACACACATTAGTGGAAGACGGTCAAAATCAAACATAGAAATATAAAATAGTCAAACATTTGACTATAAACAAACATTGGCAAAACGTGGTAGCGCGGATTAAAATATTGCTATGTTTAAATTATATATATATAAAATAGATAGAATTCGAAAAACATAGAACATAAAAATGAATAAGAACGGTAACTGCTGAAATTAAGATATGGGATATTACAATGACGACTATTATAAACCGTATTGTCAGAATTATTCCTATTGGTCGTTCATCAAGTACTCATCCAAAGAGTAATATGCTTTACTTTTTAATAGTGCCTTAATTTCATGTTTGAAAATAGTGAGTGGCAGGGCCCTGTGGGTGTGTGGCAATATGTTGAACAATCTAACACCCATTTGATTCTGAAAGCATTCTGTTGTAGACAATCTATGCATTGGAACTTGTAGGATAAGCGAATTTCTTGTTAAGCACTTAACAACAAACAATCGTACCTTGAAATCACATTTTTTTTAATTTTTCAGCACTTCTAGTAATAGTATGGTTCGCAATTTATGGGATATATCAATACCGATATGCAAACAGTTCAAAAGCTGCAACTCCAGTCTAGCACTTAGAAAAAAGAAAACATTAAAATTATACTAATTGTGATATACTCGTATAATCTACGTTCTTTGTATTTTGACGTAATATAGACCTTCAAATATTTAAAATACCGTTTGAATCAATATAACCACTTTTGTTTTTCATGAGAGGCTTCCTTCGGTGTCTTTGTCGACCTAAATAAACACACATGCACCCACCTGAGGATACGAACGAGACATGCTGCATCAACTTTTGGGTTTTAAAGCATATGTAAAGGTGTATGTTGTAGAAACCGCTAATCTACTTGTGCCTAAATGTACAGCCGTGAGCCATTGAAAGCGCGTGAGACGGCAGCTCAGCAGTGTGCGTTTCGATATGCCATGTGTGTAAATATGCAAACGGTTCAAGAAATTATAAGTACCGTTAAGTAGGTTGACTCTGCACTCTCACTCAACGCTGTTATCAGTTCGGCCCAGGCTAGTCTCTTTGAGCTAGCTAAAAACTAAACGTGTCAAGTCAGCCAAACAGGCCCATATAAATTGGTACGTACTTCATCCATCCCACATCAATTTGATGATGCTAACGCTAGTTTCTTCCCTGCACTAAGAGTCGACCATCTGGCAGCGCTGCTGGACCACAGCAGTCAAACACGTCATAAGCACAGTTACGATACTATAACATGGCTGCCGCCGATGCTATCAGATGCAAGGTGGGGTTCGGCGTATGAAAGTCGCCGTTGTATCGCTTCGTCCCGACCGACCGCGTGTTTCGTCTACAAATATTTCTGTCTCTCATATAAGTTATGAGCGCAAATGTACGGAGAAATATTTGAAATTATCGGGAAGCGTAAAATATACTGCCGCCAACAAAATAAGATATAAACTAAATATTTAATTTAATGAAACTTAGTTACTGACTATAAATTTTGGCTTAACTTATAAAAACTTAATGCCATTTATTTGTTAATTACCCAATTTAAAAACGATTCTAAAAATTAGTAAGATTGTGGTGATTGTGGTCGATTTAAGCTCTTAAAGTTGTAAACTATAAAGCCAATTAGACAAAAATCTATTGACTTTTGGACCATGGGTCATAAGAACTTTTTGACTTGTTTTGATCCCCCCTATTATCCATTTCAATAATGACTACCATAACGTTTACACCCTGTATATCTAGAATGAATATATTAAAAGTTGAATGGGTTTTATAATAAAACGATACTCTTAGATTCGACTGTTTTATTAATGTTATAAGAAGTTACACAAACTCATAAACTTATAAAAAATATATAAAAAATGATGTAAATTTTGATATGTACACAAATTCGTATAAAATAAATAAAATAAATAAGTATATAGACAAATCAAGTCAGAACGGAAAACTCTTAGCTATGTCACCGTTACAAAATTTTGTTCAAGGAACAAAAACTGGAGATCGAGTAAAAGTCTTAGAAGTAGAAACATGAGATAGAAATGAATTTTGTAACGGTAAGAGTATTATCAAGAAACCTTATACAGGGAGATTCCAAAAATTATCAAATAACCAGATTTTTGGTGCAAATAAAAAAAAATTGTTCAACGGCCTATACCAACTAAACTAGGTGATTCGAAACTCAACATAAGGGATTTGGAATCTCATTAGTAGCCAAAGTATTGAGGAATCTGATTGCTCACATAAAAATTTTAAGTTTATTGTGACATACACGAGCAATGCCTTTTTTGGTGAGGCTTTTAGAAGAATGTTTTTCATCATTCTTCTAAAAGCTTTCCCCACCTTATTTTTGCATCTGTTGCTTCAACTCCTACATTCAGTTTGTGTAATGTTGAGTAAGAACTGAATATCGTCCAGATGAAAATCGGTTTTATTTTGCTTTAATCGATATGGATTATTCATAGAACTTAGTTTTTTTAACTTAGTTCTACATCTTGCTTTTATTTTCAACGAATCATGATTTTCGTCGAGAAATTCGATTTCATTGAAAAAGCATACTTGATTGGAGTAAAGTTTCGCGTATTGCCGTGAACGACATATCAAAGGCAAATAAATCTAAAATACAAGAATCACCCTGTATACAGAAAAAAGAAGCGACCCACCACCATAGTCCTACACCAACCCGAAAAATTCATTTAGTCAATCACTTATAACAAACTCGAAGACGAAGTATATTTATACTGTATTGCCAAACTGTATCCAGAACCGTCTTGTCTGCTACATTATTTAATCATATACCTAAACAAACAAAAAATATTGGCCACTGTTGTGATGCTGAAGACAGCCCTGGATATGGCACTGTATAATGTATTTACGAGGGTAAGTCAATATTATCCTATACTTATGTTTAAAACTGGGTAAATCAGAGCTGTTCAATACGTACAGACAAAAGCTATGATGGGATATAAAAATACACTACGATAAAATAGTTTCAGGCTAGCAGCTGCAAAAGCAAAAATAGAAACTCTTTTCCGACATCGATATTAAATTTAAATTTAATTTTTGATACAAAATATATTGCTGCTTACTGAACATTTATAATTTTCACGATTTGACAATTTTAATTTGTTAGCTATTTAAAAAAAAGCTTGCGTTTGGAACCACTATTCTATCATAAACATATTTTAAGCATTCTCTCATGCATATTTTGACAAATATCAACATTTTGACAGACCCCTTTGTTGCATATGAACCTTCCTATCACTTGGAGATGACTTGCACTTAACTTGATGCAGGAATTTCCAAACTAGCCTAAACACGATATTTCCTAAGCACCGCGCGTTTGGAGTCCGTGGTGATTCTAGGCTATGTGTTTTCCCGGATTGAGCCATTTCTTCATATAGTAGCAGAACAGCGTGCTGACGTAAAGGAGCACCAGAAGGGCGCATGTTACGCCAAGAGCGAATACGGAGGTTCTCGTTGGGCATGGCTCGATGATCGTTACAGTCTTGTCTGAAAAAGAAAACATTACGAATTATTTCAGGACTGTAGGCTGTATATTCATCCTGAAATTTGCAAAGCAGTACGTAATTAAGATGTGAATTGGGATGATTTATAACTGAAGGGTAATATTCCAATGGTGATAAAGTATTTGTTAGGGCTTGAAAAGTCTAAGTCCAGAATTTCACACTTTACTCTGTTTTTTTAATGCTTCATCCCTTTCTTTTTAGAACTAAGTTAATAAGAGTAGTAAAAAGATCTATTTAGCACATTTGGCTACATAAACAGAATAATTATAAACATTTTAGAGTTAGTAAAGTCAAGCCATATGATGCACATGCTGAGCTAGCTATAATTGTAACAATTGAATTTTGCTTTGAATTTTTTCTCTGTATATAATTAATTATATTCAATCAAACCTTGATGAAATACAGATTTGTAACATATATTTTAGACATTAAATGAAAGTCACCATTATTTATGGTGTTATAGTAAAAGATGGTCGGCATTTGATGATATCAATTTAGTTCGATATTGGGGAAAAATATTATTTTTTACTTTCTAAACGAATACCATTACAAGATATTTAGTAAAATTTTTCACATTGAGCCATTTTAATTTGCTAAGCTAATTGCATTTTTTATCTTTATTCAGTATTATTCTTATGCAATTGTTTTGTAAAATTTCCAGTTTTGTCAAAATGGAATTATTAGCTAAGTTAAAGTTAAAATTAGGCATAACAAAATTCGTGCACGAATACTATATTTTAGCATAAAAGCTACAACTAAAAATGTTCACACGGATGCTGGTCGACATCTTGGGTTTCCTAAAAGGAATTGGCGGTTTTAAAGCTCTATAACTGTAGATTGTCGAGGTTGTTTTTCAAAATAGTGAATTGTGACTGTCAAAGTTTCATACACTGACTAAACTATGTCTAAATATCTTAACGATATATGTTATATCAATCTTGATGTTTTGGTAGGACCTACTCGAATATGCATTGAAATATTGGGAATTCCGTTTTATAGAAATAACTAAATTTGACTATTTCCTATTTAGGTATCTGTTATAGTTCAAAACATGAATCTTACCTTTTCCAAAATCGGCACTGTTCAGCCCGCTCTTCAAAAATTCTGATTGTTTTTCATCTCCAAAGTCAAGTACAAGGATCTCTTGGCTTAAAGTCATATCTTCTTCTTTTTCTTCATCGGTTTGGTTGTTGCTGACGCTTCTCTTCCTCCTGCCCCATGATTCGATCGAGTCCCTTCCCCATTCACAAACAGCCTGAAAAAAATATCGCAGATTTTAGTGAACAAGGTAAAACGTTGTTAATATACAGGGGCTTTATGAAATCCTCACTACATTTTATTACAATGTTTTAAAGCAACCTAATTGTTTATGCTTTTGAGCTGATCAATGCAGCAGTCAGATTGCAGCCATTATGGAGGTTCCCTATTTCACTATCCACATTGCAAGGTCCAACTATTTGATACTCCAAAAGAGTCTGAAACTAGCATTTTGAATCTGCTGTCTCGTATGTTTCCTACTGGATAAGCCAGTTGAGGCAGCGTGGTGGCCGCAGTGGTAGACGCTTCGTCTCCTGATCAGAAATTTTATCTTGGCTATGGATGTACTTGGAACTGAATTCCGAACCATTTAACCTTGATAATGTGAGCTGAAATTTTGTACACACCTTTGACTTCCATTTTGATTCCAATATGGTGGATGCTAAAAAATGGCGACGATAATTTCCATAGCAACCCCCTATGATATGGGTATTTGATAAAAGGACTTGAGGGAAGACACACAATAAGTGAAATGACCTCATTCTAAATTAAATATGGCGGTAGCCTCAAAATGGCGATTTACATTTTTCGTAGCCATTCCTATGACGAGAGAAACGCAATAAAAGTAAAGTGACGTCATTCTAAATCTAATATGGAGAGAATCCCAAGATGGCGTTTATTATCATAGTGACCCCTATGATAGGGATATCGAATTTTAGATCCAATATGGCGGCCGCCGCTGAATAGCGATCTATGATAAGGGTAACAAATGAAAGGAAATGAGAGAAACACGATGAACAAATAACGTCATTCTAAATTTCTCATGGTGGTCGCCGCAAAATATCGATTTATCATTTTATGACATATCTACCGAAATTTCTAATACAAATAAAGCATTATGGAGTCCTATTAATAAAATGTACTAAAGTTATATATATATATATATATATATATATATATATATATCCTTGAATTTCTTTGGGTAGAAGGCAAAGTATTGCAAAAGTACACTCTTATAACTTAAACTTGAGCTTTTGAAGATCTCTGTCTTCATCGTCAGGAGTAAGTCGGCGAGATTGTTAATGAAATTGTTTTTAAACAACAGTGAAGGGAACACATAGTCGACGAAAGAAAACTGGACTGATGAGGTTCGATTAGGACGGAATAGATCTTCGAAAGCTCGAGTTTAAGTTATAAGAGTGTACTTTTGCAATACCTTGCCTTCTACCCAAAGAAATTAAAGGATATTTTCTCCTAACAGTTACGGCAATTAACTATGAATACTATATATATATATATAACTTGAGACGTGGTCATTGTCGTCTAGACCAGTTAGGTGAAAAATTAAAGCTTCCGCCTTTTGTTGGGTACTTCGACAAAATTTAAGCAAAGAGGACTCTATACTTTTCTTAATTCTCTCTAGTATATATATATATATATATATATATATATATAAATTAGCATCTAAAATACTAAAAAGTAAAAAATAAATAAAATAGTTTAGTATCTTTTATCTCTGAATTTTGAACATAAGTTTATTGCAGTTATTCTGAAATCTTCAAAATAGGCAAAACTTCTTATTAGCCAGAAAGAGTACGTCGAAATCTACTGAGATGTCAACTTCTTTAAACTTCCCCAAAACTTTTCAGGTAAAACTGTCGAATGATTGATCTATTATACTAAGTGACATATAAATCCGAACACCCTGTTTAAATGGTTTTATTTTAATAAAAGTTGGTGAATGTATTTATCTTACTGTAAATAACAAGTGAAAAAATTTTAAGCCTTATCAGTTGGACATTCCGGTTTTTATACTGCTTTTTTTCAATTCACTAACGCTCTAAAAATGAATATTTCAGCCGCAGTAAAGAATCAACGTTGGCGGATTTTGGTTCTTGACATCATTTACGATCGGTTACGATGCCTAGAGTACGGAGACCTGTACGATTTCGTCAACTTAGTGAGTTTGATAGGGGCCGTATAGTGGGACTTCGGGAAGCTGCAAATGAATGGTTTGTAGAACACGGAAGACCTATTGGCATGCGAAGTGTTTACCGACGAATGAGAAGTTTTGGCTTGTTTTCATACCGGCCACACTGGGTCCTCCCTTTAACTCTTAACTCGAGAACACCGACGTAATCGCCTTGAGTGGTGCAGACAACGGTCACTCTGGGATCAGGAATGGAACAGTATTGTCTTTAGTGACGAGTCTCGATTTTGTTTAGGCATGCACGATGGTCGTGCCAGGGTTAGAAGGCGACGTGGTGAAAGGAGGAATCCACAGTTTTTTGTTGAAAGACATGTTCATCACACTGTTGGAGTTATGGTTTGGGGTGCTATAGCTTATGGTTCCAGGTCACCTTTAATCTTCATCAGAGGTAACATGAACGCGCAGCGTTATATCCACGAAGTTCTAGAACCCCATCCTTTACCCTATCTTGACACCCTGGCAGATCCAACTTTCCAACAAGATAATACCCGACCACATGTTGCAAGAGTCACAATAGACTTCTTTCAACATAATGATGTCACATTGTTACCATGGCCACCAAGATCCCCCGACTTATCCCCAATTGAGCACGTTTGGGATATGATGGGTAGGAGATTGCTCAATTTGCAACGTCCTCCTCAGACTCTAGAAGCACTTCGAGAGGAGTTGGTGGTTGCCTGGAATGAGATACCACAGGAGGACATTGACCACCTGATCAGAAGCATGCCTAGGCGCGTTGGAGAATGCGTAGCACATCAGGGTGCATCCACACATTATTAAAGGTCAAAGGGCTTTAAAGCAGTGCAATCATTTTGAAATTTTTATCATTTACTTATTATGCTTCATTAAGTACTTATACAAAATTTTATTAAAATAAAACCATTTAAACTGGGTGTTCGGATTTATATGTAATAATAATAAAAAATTATTTTTGAGAAAAGAGCAAACTGTCGCACATATATAAAGATGGATGTAGTCTTATAGATATTTTGTCAAATGTCTTTTCTCTTGGTAATTTTCGATAAACAGTAAACTTACCGGTTCGCAAGGTCCCAAACAGTACTTGACATTGCACTGGAAGATGACACCATATGATTCTGTAAACCTGAATGCTTCGTAGATTGATTGCAAGGCGTTGCCGTCAGGAGAGAAAGCAGGAAAGATGGTGGGATCCACAGGACAACCTTCGTCATCGATGATCTGGAATGTGCTCTTAGAGTCCTTGGCCATTGCCACACAGCTACGGGCGAAGATACCGTAAGGAGCTGAAAAAATATGGAGCGCTATTAAATATCATCATAACAGTTGGATTTTGAAATTTCTTGCAAATATTAGCTTTTTTATTTTTTAGAAGTTATTTTGATCAAAGGACCTAATATGCTTGCATTGTTCAAACATTTTCTCATGTGACTACAATTCCTCCAGGTGTGCCTCAAGGCTCTGTGTTAGGACCGTTATTATTTCTGATATATACTTTTGACAAAATTCTTGATCATTCACATTTCCAACTTTTCGCAGAAGATATGCAATTGTTACATTATTTTAATCCCCAGAAAGTCGATAATACTGTAGAGGTTTTACAAAATGGTGTTAATCTAATATTCATATAATGATAATCTGGCTGTCGACCCTCAAAAGACTAAAATGCTATTAGTATGTGCGCAGAAAAAGAAGGATGACTCAGCGTCACTCTTGAAGGTCCAAATAAGTAATTAACACTTACAGTTCAGCGAATCTGCAAAAATTCTTGCTATTGTTTTTGACAAAAAGTTAAGGATTATCGAACATGTCAAAAGTCTTTCGCCGAAAACTTATCTCAGGCTACGTATTCTAAATGTAAGCAAATATCTACCAAATTTCAAGTTACGAGAGAAAGTATATGAATCCCTGGTCATATCTTTTCTAAATTATTGAAATATATGTAGTAGTATAGCAAAAACCTAATTCAAATCATTCAAAATAATTGTGTTCGTTTTATTATTTGACGCCACAAATTTGATCATGTATCAGAAAAATATCTAACACTCAATTGAAAATAAATTATTTGGTTAAATACCACTACTAGTTTTCATCAATAAGTTATTACTCGTGCTTGCGTCTTAACCGCCTTATATACGACGAAAAACTTCATTTATCAATGATATTTATCCCAGACGACTTACAGATAAAATTGTCAGGATACCTCACAGTATTCAACAACCCTATTTCACCGCAGTATCTCCTAGAATGATGCCACCATATATAATTCATTACCAAAATTCTTTAAACAATACTCATTAACAGCTGTTCGACAACAAGTGAAATCATCATTACTGCACCGAGTTTATTACACAATCAGAAGCTTTTATGGTTAAAAGTAAGAGTAGCAAATCCTAAACTTCATCATTTAAGTCTTGCTTTAGTTGCTTTACAATGTTGTTGTAAAGAAATAAAGACCTAATATTAATTATAAAAATTGGGTTTTAAACATTCGCATTTTCTGTTTCTAGCCCACATATGGATGTTGACGAGAAAGTAAATAATAATTACAAGCCGTCCCATCGTTGTCGACTACCGCATTGCGAAATCAAAATTTAATACCAGCTTTGCGCAATTTGAGTGTTTACAGAACAATCAGGTATATACTAAAATAGAAAAAGAAAATAGCGAAAGCTGACATTTTCTAAAACATCTAAATGCACAAACTGATGCAATAAACTTGAAATTTGAGGTGTTATTCTGTTTTACTTTGTCAGTGATGTGATATTTCCAGCGCAGTTCTTTCTGAAAAGGAAAATTTTAGAATATCCTGAGAATATTTTTTTTAACTTCAAAATTCTGCAGTTTATTGCTTTATGTTCTATCAGTAGTACTTACTGTCTTCTGGGATTTCAATCCTGAAAGTGAGCTTATCTCCAATACGAACAGTCTCCACTTCTCTTTGACGGCTGTCCAGGATGCGGATCCTTGGTGGTGGAGCCTCAGGAGCAGATGTGATGCTGATCATTTCTGGATCCCTAAAAAATGGAAATACTTCAATTAGGGAATATTCTGAACTATAGTAAAAATATACTAAGTGACATATAAATCCGAACACCCAGTTTAAATGGTTTTATTTTAATAAAAGTTGGTGAATGTATTTATCTTACTGTAAATAACAAGTGAAAAAATTTTCAGCCTTATCAGTTGGACATTCCGGTTTTTATACTGCTTTTTTTTAATTCACTAACGCTCTAAAAATGAATATTTCAGCCGCAGTAAAGAATCAACGTTGGCGGATTTTGGTTCTTGACATCCTTTACGATCGGTTACGATGCCTAGAGTACGGAGACCTGTACGATTTCGTCAACTTAGTGAGTTTGATAGGGGCCGTATAGTGGGACTTCGGGAAGCTGGACTTTCTTTTCGGGCAATTGCAGTTAGAGTGCAAAGAAGTGTAGACACTGTGGTTAGGTGTTGTCAGGAATGGCTTCGAGAAGGCCGTACGCAAAGAGCAAGGGGCACTGGACGCCGCCGTAGAACAACAGACCGTGAAGATCGCCGCCTAAGATTATTGACCTTAAGGGACCGTTTCTCCACTACCAGGTCCATTGCAAATGAATGGTTTGCAGAACACGGAAGACCTATTGGCATGCGAAGTGTTTACCGACGAATGAGAAGTTTTGGCTTGTTTTCATACCGGCCACACTGGGTCCTCCCTTTAACTCGAGAACACCGACGTAATCGCCTTGAGTGGTGCAGACAACGGTCACTCTGGGATCAGGAATGGAACAGTATTGTCTTTAGTGACGAGTATCGATTTTGTTTAGGCATGTACGATGGTCGGGCCAGGGTTAGAAGGCGACGTGGTGAAAGGAAGAATCCACAGTTTTTTGTTGAAAGACATGTTCATCACACTGTTGGAGTTATGGTTTGGGGTGCTATAGCTTATGGTTCCAGGTCACCTTTAATCTTCATCAGAGGTAACATGAACGCGCAGCGTTATATCCACGAGGTTCTAGAACCCCATCTCGACACCCTGGCAGATCCATCTTTCCAACAAGATAATGCCCGACCACACGTTGCAAGAGTCACAATAGACTTCTTTCAACATGATGATGTCACATTGTTACCATGGCCATCAAGATCTCCCGACTTATCCCCAATTGAGCACGTGTGGGATATGATGGGTAGGAGATTGCTCAATTTGCAACGTCCTCCTCAGACTCTAGAAGCACTTCGAGAGGAGTTGGTGGCTGCCTGGAATGAGATACCACAGGAGGACATTGACCACCTGATCAGAAGCATGCCTAGGCGCGTTGGAGAATGCGTAGCACATCAGGGTGCATCCACACATTATTAAAGGTCAAAGGGCTTTAAAGCAGTGCAATCATTTTGAAATTTACTTATTATGCTTCATTAAGTACTTATACAAAATTTTATTAAAATAAAACCATTTAAACTGGGTGTCTGGGTGTTCGGATTTATATGTCACTTAGTATACTATACAGTTTCCCCCTTTAGTTTTCGTTTGCGAAGCAGATATTTGACATTCTGGATCTGTGGATGGTTTTTGATATTTGAGTTCAGACATGGGCATTTTTTAAATCAATCCTTAAGCAATTTGGTCTTAATTTCTGAATCGACTACAAGTTGCCGCCCCAAATATTTTTCTCAACGTTCTGTTCAATTTGAATCAAAATTAAATATAAGGCTTACCTGATAGGCATCATGCCGAATGTGATGTTCTTCGATGACATATCGTAAGTACATTTGACTTTGTAGATTTTATCCGCCTTGGTCATGACAACGCTGTGGTGTTGTAGGACAACTGTGTTGCTGTAAACGCCAGTCTGAAAATAAAAAAATATCATCAACATTTATATTTATGATAAAAATTAGTAGTTTTTTCTTGTATCAAAATTTCGTTTAGTTAGCTTTTGATTGAATTCATATATTTCTCAACCTAGAAGCAACGAAACAGACTCTAGAGCACGTTAAGTTAAAACATAGATGTTCGAGAAAAATATTTGCTAACTTACCACAGATTGCGTATTGCAGTCTTGTCCGTTCATCGTGAGATCCAATCTGAACTGGTCGCTGTTAAGGACGTCCACATTGCAGGTCTCAGATCTTCCAAGAGCGTAGATTCTTCCGTTGAATGGTTTGTTCGTGCGCACTTGGACTGCGATTTTTGTGTCCTTGCAATTCACCGATACTGAAATATGCGATTACAATAAATGTTGAAAATATGCTAAAGATAAAGGACCGGTCGCTCCGATCGGTACTTATCGTGGTACAGCAAATTTTAATTACACTGCTTCGATCAACATTTAAGCTGCCAAGTTTGAATTTTAGCATGAAAATACGTAAGATTTGTCTAGGTTTTTATTATCACCTCAGTACGCGATATACTCAAAAATTTGCGGTCGGCTCTCGGACTATCACCGCTTCTCTATACCTTTGGGAGCAGTGCGACGTTGCCAGAGTGTGGTTGGTTATACACTGAAAACCAAATACCACTGACGTCGTAATGTGTACGAGAGATAAGTGCGATAAGCGTGCTCATACTCGGGTTGCTAGGCAACTAGGTGCTTCTATCTCTTTCTAACATACATATCGCACGCTAATCCCACTTGTCTCTCGTACACATTACGACGGCAAATTTAATTCTCGCCGTATTGCATGGTAGGCAGATAATGTAATTTGTAGCTTTAGAAAACAATTTAAGGAAAATATGGGGAGCTTGCTTATCAACTAAAATCACTTACTGTAAACTGATAAATTATTATTGACTTCTACGAAATCCAGTGATCATTTTTGAACAGACGCTGATGTATTAGGCGAGGTGGCAATCTCGCATTTGCTTGAAGAATTTTCCAATTCCATTTTTTTTTTGTAATATTCGAATCATTGTTTTCTAATAAACTACAGAAAAATAAATTTCGCCTGGAGAATTTTTTTTGATCATTCTGATCAAAAGGGCCTCGCCTCCCTAAAGAGTGGTATATCCAGTGCTTAAAAAACGGGTTAAAAATTATCGTTTTAGAGATCGGAAAGTATTTAAATTAGAATGGCTACTTTACAGCCATCTAGCGGCCATATCGTGTCCTTGCTAGTAACGAGATCCCTAACAGTTCCTGTCTTCTACAGAGTTAGATTCTAGTGCGATAGATGTCGCTCTGCGCTGATTTACTTCGATAGACCGTAGCTCCGGTATAGAGGATAGTTGCGATGCTTTCTTTCGTTCGTTCAGAGCCAAAAGACCAAGCCAAGCCAAGAAACAAGGAACACCTGTCCATGGTTGACTGCCTTTTTGGTCATGTTTAGTTTATTCAATGGCAAGAAGACCATATCTACTTTACAGCCAGAATCGATAGCCGTCTAGCGATCACGTGGTGAAGGGCGAAAGCGTCATGTTTGATTAAAATTAAGCTAAAACCTTGCTCTACAAAACCCCGAAGAGTATTTCAAGATAACTTTATTTTAAGGCCATTTTTAACCTTGGTTACTAGACCAAAACTGGCGTACTTTTGGTTTTCGCAGACCATTTTGGATTAAGAAGCACAAGTTAAACGGGTGGTAGGCATAGAACGCAGCTCACAGCTGGGCGGCCGCAGGAAGAAAAGCTCAAAGGAGTAAAGCTCGTTGACATATCGGTAAAAGGGAGCCAGTATGTCCGCCGATGTGAGAGAGGCATGCCGCTGTCGTCGGTAGAGGTGTTGAAAAAGTAACTATTCGTTACTAGAGTACTCGTTACTCATTGATATCCGAAGTAACGAGTAACAATCCGAGCACCAAATGATTACTTCGATTATTCAGTTTTCCGTACCCGCACGGGTATCACGTATCTTAAAAGTGACATTATGTCGAATTTGTTTGACATTATGCTGGTTTTTTTTGACATTAGGTAGTTTTTTCTACAAGATGTTAACTTAGCACTTAGTTGTACGTGCTGCCTAAGCGTCATGAGGCTTGTTATAAATCTTTGGCTCTGATGTGATGTAAAATCTGCTTCAGAGATGCCATTACTGGAGGTCTAAGGTGTAAGTTGTATGTATTGTTGATAATTACATTGGGTTCTTGCCTCAAATACACTTAATTGAGATTCAAAGCTAGAAATTAGTTGCGCATCCACTTTTACTTATCCATTCTGGAAATAACATATACAAATTTACTGAAATTAAAAAATGAGAGATAAGAAATAAATAAATTTACTGTACACTGTCGAATTACAAGCCATATACATGCTAACAGTAATTACACACAACGCGGACGCAGTGATGATTTCCCATAATTCTCCTCAGTTTTTCGTAATTTATAACTTTGAACATAACCTCTCTTCAGAGAGCACAACATAAAAATAACCCGTCGGGCACATCCAATAGATATACTTCATTGGCAGCATATTCAGTAATGATTTTCTCACACAGCAAATATCACTGAATTTATACACATGCAGACAATACACATAATCATCCAGGTGCGATCTTGCTATACAACCAACTTTCTTCTCAGAGATAAAAACTACAGACAAGGACCATTTGGCCTCACAAAACATATGCAACCAGTAATGCATGTAGTTTAGTTGAGTGATTCCTCCTTAGATGGACGTTATTCACAACGATCCTGGTGAGCAAACGCGGAATGACTGTTTGCGCCCTAAAAACTACCTAGTTTGCAAGATGACATCTTACTCGTTTAGATTTTTTTGATGTTTTATAGGTTTTTTACATGATACCCATGCCGCACGCGTACAATCGTTCATCGTTGAGTAGCAACCCTGGTTTCTGCCATCTTAGGGGTCAGTGTAGCACTGTCCCTCATGCATTAGGGTTGCCAGATATGTCACATTCGGGTGATATGTGTAGACTAAGCTCCACATGGAATTTTTTATACTGGTACATGCTTAATTGAAATGCCCTTAGCTTCCAAAAGTTACTTGCCATTCCGAACTTCCACAATTCCATATACAAACTATAATAACTAAAAGACATGCTTTTGAAGCATTTCTAGTAAACATGGTATGAAGTATTTCCAGTTTTTGGGCACATATGAGACCCTATCCTATAATAAATCATCTTGTTTTGCATAACATGATTAAAATTTTCAGGTTGTATATCTTCGTACAGGAGAACTTACCAAACAAAGCATAATATAGTTTTGTTGTTGAAGAAATTCGGCATTAGTCATTAATTAAACGACGCACGTTGCCAAATCGTTATACTCATATTACACATAACTCAAAGCAACCAGGTAACGAATTCAATAAATGATTAGTTTGTAGAAGAATAAGGTTTAGTAACGAATACTCGAAAGTTACGAGAATCAATAACTCTAGTCGTCGGTTGAGTATCATCAATCAGTCAGACAGGTTTCATCTGGATCCATCAAGAAAAGATGGGGAAGGGGCAAGAGTGATATGAAGAGCGGGGGGATGCGCCCAGCTTCCAAAATACAGCAATTGTCTCCAATTTACTGGAGCAAATGATTGGCTTTGACATATGCCACCGCAATTCACTTGCGAAAACGTATGGTTAAAACTATATACCAGTCGACCACCGCTTTGAGGCGCCAGCGTTGCCACCTCTCGAACTGTTACCGCATGTTATCGGATTTCTGTTTCTGTAGCTGAGAAATTCTGAGAATACGAAATATTAGGAATAATTACGAGGGTAATCTTCAAAATTGATTTCATGATTAAGAATAAAAAATTTTACTCAAAAGGAAATTGTAATCAGTTTTTATCACTTCCAACAAAATTATAGCGCTTCTACACGGCAACATGGCTGTGGCGATGGACATTGTATGTGTATATCCAAATACAGTATAGGGTCCCAGCTTCCAAAATACAGCAATTTTCTCCAATTTACTGAAGAAAATGATTGGTTTTGACATGTGCCACCGCAATTCACTTCCGAAAACGTATGGTTAAAACTATATACCAGTCGACCACCGCTTTGAGGCGCCAGTGTTGCCACCTCTCGAACTGTTACCGCATGTTATCAGATTTCTTTTTCTGTAGCCGAGACATTCTGAGAATACGAAATATTAGGAATAATTACGAGCGTAATCTTCAAGATTGATTTCATGATTAAGAATAAAAAATTTGATTCAAAAGGAAATTGTAATCAGTTTTTATCACTTCCAACAAAATTATAGCGATTCTACACGGCAACATGGCTGTGGCGATGGACATTGTATGTGTATATCCAAATACAGTATAGGGTCCCAGCTTCCAAAATACAGCAATTTTCTCCAATTTACTGAAGAAAATGATTGGTTTTGACATGTGCCACCGCAATTCACTTCCGAAAACGTATGATTAAAACTATATACCAGTCGACCACCGCTTTGAGGCGCCAGCGTTGCCATCTCTCGAACTGTTACCGCATGTTATCGGATTTCTTTTTCTGTAGCTGAGAAATTCTGAGAATACGAAATATTAGGAATAATTACGAGCGTAATCTTCAAGATTGATTTCATGATTAAGAATAAAAAATTTTATTCAAAAGGAAATTGTAATCAGTTTTTATCACTTCCAACAAAATTATAGCGATTCTACATGGCAACATGGCTGTGGCGATGGACATTGTATGTGTATATCCAAATACAGTATAGGGTCCCAGCTTCCAAAATACAGCAATTTTCTCCAATTTACTGAAGAAAATGATTGGTTTTGACATGTGCCACCGCAATTTACTTCCGAAAACCTATGGTTAAAACTATATACCAGTCGACCACCGCTTTGAGGCGCCAGCGTTGCCATCTCTAGAACTGTTACCGCATGTTATCGGATTTCTTTTTCTGTAGCTGAGAAATTCTGAGAATACGAAATATTAGGAATAATTACGAGCGTAATCTTCAAGACTGATTTCATGATTAAGAATAAAAAAAATTATTTAAAAGGAAATTGTAATCAGTTTTTTCACTTCCAACAAAATTATACCGCTTCTACACGGCAACATGGCTGTGGCGATGGACATTGTATGTGTATATCCAAATACAGTATAGGGTCCCAGCTTCCAAAATACAGCAATTTTCTCCAATTTACTGAAGAAAATGATTGGTTTTGACATGTGCCACCGCAATTCACTTGCGAAAACGTATGGTTAAAACTATATACCAGTCGACCACCGCTTTGAGGCGCCAGTGTTGCCACCTCTCGAACTGTTACCGCATGTTATCGGATTTCTTTTTCTGTAGCTGAGAAATTCTGAGAATACGAAATATTAGGAATAATTACGAGCGTAATCTTCAAGACTGATTTCATGATTAAGAATAAAAAAATTTATTTAAAAGGAAATTGTAATCAGTTTTTTCACTTCCAACAAAATTATACCGCTTCTACACGGCAACATGGCTGTGGCGATGGACATTGTATGTGTATATCCATATATATACTAAGTGACATATAAATCCGAACACCCAGTTTAAATGGTTTTATTTTAATAAAAGTTGATGAATGTATTTATCTTACTGTAAATAACAAGTGAAAAAATTTTCAGCCTTATCAGTTGGTCATTTCGGTTTTTATACTGCTTTTTTTAATTCACTAACGCTCTAAAAATGAATATTTCAGCCGCAGTAAAAAATCAACGTTGGCGGATGTTGGTTCTTGACATCCTTTACGATCGGTTACGATGCCTAGAGTACGGAGACCTGTACGATTTCGTCAACATAGTGAGTTTGATAGGGGCCGTATAGTGGGACTTCGGGAAGCTGGACTTTCTTTTCGGGCAATTGCAGCTAGAGTGCAAAGAAGTGTAGACACTGTGGTTAGGTGTTGTCAGGCATGGCTTCGAGAAGGCCGTACGCAAAGAGCAAGGGGCACTGGACGCCGCCGTAGAACAACAGACCGTGAAGATCGCCGCCTAAGATTATTGGCCTTAAGGGACCGTTTCTCCACTACCAGGTCCATTGCAAATGAATGGTTTGCAGAACACGGAAGACCTATTGGCATGCGAAGTGTTTACCGACGAATGAGAAGTTTTGGCTTGTTTTCATACCGGCCACACTGGGTCCTCCCTTTAACTCGAGAACACCGATGTAATCGCCTTGAGTGGTGCAGACAACGGTCACTCTGGGATCAGGAATGGAACAGTATAGTCTAGTGACGAGTCTCGATTTTGTTTAGGCATGCACGATGGTCGTGCCAGGGTTAGAAGGCGACGTGGTGAAAGGAGGAATCCACAGTTTTTTGTTGAAAGACATGTTCATCACACTGTTGGAGTTATGGTTTGGGGTGCTATAGCTTATGGTTCCAGGTTACCTTTAATCTTCATCAGAGGTAACATGAACGCGCAGCGTTATATCCACGAAGTTCTAGAACCCCATCTTTTACCCTATCTTGACACCCTGGCAGATCCAACTTTCCAACAAGATAATGCCCGACCACATGTTGCAAGAGTCACAATAGGCTTCTTTCAACATAATGATGTCACATTGTTACCATGGCCACCAAGATCTCCCGACTTATCCCCAATTGAGCACGTGTGGGATATGATGGGTAGGAGATTGCTCAATTTGCAACGTCCTCCTCAAACTCTAGAAGCACTTCGAGAGGAGTTGGTGGTTGCCTGGAATGAGATACCACAGGAGGACGTTGACCACCTGATCAGAAGCATGCCTAGGCGCGTTGGAGAATGCGTAGCACATCAGGGTGCATCCACACATTATTAAAGGTCAAAGGGCTTTAAAGCAGTGCAATGATTTTGAAACTTTTATCATTTACTTATTATGCTTCATTAAGTACTTATACAAAATTTTATTAAAATAAAACCATTTAAACTGGGTGTTCGGATTTATATGTCACTTAGTATAGTATAGGGTTGGACATTTTCTTGATGAATACCGTAATCAAACGTCATTAACTATTACGACAAGCATGCTTTCTACCAAATGGATTCCACCTTCGACCTGCAAGGCCAAGAGAAACCTTGACCACAGCTATAAAATCAGCTGTGCTTGAAGTCGCATATATACTGCTTGTCGAACATGGGTGTTCCAGCTGATTCGGAGCCGCGTATGCATAAATAGCGGGTTCGCTCGTACATACGGCGAACAACATTAAATTGACAATTTCGGTTGAAAGGCCTATTAGTAACCGACCGGCTGAATGGCCTGTTCGTTCCGCTCCAGAGTCCATGCAGAGCAATAAGGAGACTTGCTTTATGGGCCTCCACTTTCTTGATGACCGAATGTATATGCGAATGTTCGAGTCGTTTGTTTCTGTCTCTAGGGATGCTTAGATGTATAAATTCCGTGATTTCATTTAAAGACAATGCGTAAGAAATGGTTGTGGGCAGTCGTCGTCAACCTGTCGATCGCGAGCTACCGGTAGTTCGAAAATGCAATTCTGGTGACTCACAACATATTTTTAATAGGTGTAAAGATCATAGAAGCTTTTGTAAATTTTGTAAATTCTCAGAATAAACATAAGCAGCGGCAACACTGCGGTGAGCGATCTGTTCGAGAACGATCTCGATTACTTTGAACGGAATAAATACGCAAGACGCGGCGAAAGTGCGCTCAGCGGAAAACAGAACGGTACAAAGTCCAGCGGTTGGGTTAGAGTTGGCCTGCAGCTAAAAACATTATTAGCAGTGGTAAGAAGATAAAGATGTACTATTTCCATTCGGCATTGGAAGAACAATATTTGTTTGCAGAAGTTACAGATAAAAATGTATGTTTGTTATGTCATACATCTGTTGGTAGTAAAAATTGTGAACAAGATTAGAGCTCAAGTGTTGGTAAGAAGATTATTCTAAACATTGGCCGATGAAAGTGATTGTCAATACGGGGAAGTACTTCTTCACTCTGAAGTCCGACGGTTAAGAAGGGGACATAGTTCTATTTTTCAACACCGTAATGAATCGACTCCGGAACTAGAAAATTCAATCTGGCTTAGAGATTTCTGTTTTCTTGTGGATATTACAGAAGAATTAAATGAACTTAATTTACAGCTTTAGGGGAGAGACAAAGAACTAGCAGAAATTATTTCTGATATAAAAGCGTTTATCAAAAAGCTTCAGTTTTGGGAACAAAGTTTAATCGATGGCGATACCAGGCATTTTCTTGTTCTTTCAGAAAAGATATCTTAAAGTCCATATGACAGTAAACATCATGTAGGAATAGTCTCTAACTTGAAGGATAACTTCAAAAATCGTTTCAAAGATCTCAACGAAATTGTTATACGAGCCCCTTCTCACTTCAGTTGGCCCAACTACTGAAATCTTTTTTCTTATCAAACACAAATAATAAAAATGTAGCAGGGTGTTATAGGTTTAAAATATTTTGATAATGTATAGTAGAAAACACCAAATTTATCACTCCCTAATCAAATTTGCAGCATAAAAATAACACATGTTGCAATTACAGCATATCAACCTATTTTCATTTCCATGCAAAATAAGTCTATAGCGCATAGGTGGCTGTGAAAAATAAAAGCCATGACAATTGTTTTTATTAATCACAGCTGTCAGAATACGTTTAGAATAGTTTTGGGTAGTTAAGGTTTTCAAAATGGGTAGAGGAAAGGCTATTAGTGAGAAAATTCGGTTACTGATAATTAAATATTTTAATTCTGGGAAATCAAACTCAGAAATTGCAACTTTGTTAGATTTATCACGGTACAGTGTGAGAAATATTGTTAGAAGATATAACGTAACTGGTTCAGTTAATATTAAGCCACGATATGTGAAAAAAAGTAATATCACAAATGCCGACCGAAGAGCATTAAGAAGAATAATCGTGAAAAACAAGCGTGCCAATTATTTAAAATTAAGTGCTCTGTGGAGTGACGCTGTTGGAAGCAGAATTTGGAGGTCCACAACTCATAGAGAGGCCCACAAATGGGGATTTAGCACTTGCAAGGTAAGTTTTCTTATAAAAAAGTGAAGTAAAAACCCTAAAGTTGCACAACTTGTTTATAGGCCAAAGAAAAGCCACTATTAACTCCACTGCAAAATAAAAATCGGCTTAGATGGGCTAAAGAACATCGGCAGTGGACACCGCAACAATGGTGTGCAATACAATGGAGTGATGAGGCCCGATTCGAAGTTTGTGTTGGTGACAGTCGCAGTAGAGTTATTCGCAAAAAAATGAAGCGTTCCATGTTGACTGTCTGAAGAGAAAAGTGAAATTTCCAGCATCCATTATGGTCTGGGGCAGTATGTCATTTTAGAAGAATCGCTTTTACCATCCGGCCAAGATTTTGTGTTTCAGCAAGATGGTGCAGCGTGCCACACCTCAAAACAGGCTATAAAAAGGATGGAAGAAAATAATGTACCACTTTTGAAATGGGTTTCTAGCAGTCCAGATCTGTCACCTATTGAAACTTTGTGGCACGAGATGAAACAGGTTCTACGACAACATCCTGTTCGTAAAATCACCGAACTAAGACAAAAGCTTCAAGAAATATGGGATTGTTGTGAGTGTTGTTGTTTTTGCCAAAACTTGGTTAACACTATGCCCCAAAGAATTTCAGCCGGAATAAAAAATAAAGGTGACGTTACCCAATGGTAATCTTTCAGTTGTTGCTTTGTTAACTTCGCGCATTTATTCGCACATTGTTTATTTGTTCAGATGTTCTATTAGTTATAGGTCTAAGTGATTATCTAAAATGTTTTTGAGAAAATAAATTGTCTTAGAAGTAAACAGTTTCGTCATGTTTAGCTTATAAAGGCATATTTTGGTACAAATCTTGGAGTGGGCCAACTGAAGTGGGAAGGAGCTCGTAGTGGTGCAATTTGTTGTTTCACCCTTCATGGAAATTGATATCCAACAGTTTGCAACTTCTGTAACGCAGAATTTTAGCGAAGATATCGCTGCGACAAAAATCACTAGAAAAATCGTAATTCGTTTCACTTCAATGTTGTTTGATCATAACTTACCATCATAACAGGTACCCGTTTTATCACAGTTGACATCAGTACGGCTCTGGTTATTTAAATTTGCGTCCTCTGTTGTCTCGAATACCACAGGTAAGGTGTTGTCAGATGGCAAAGTTGATGATTCTAAACAATAATGCAATTGTTAGAACGATAGATTATAGAAACATTTTCGTACAGGGTGTCTCAGAAGTCGACGTCAAGCCGGAAACGGAGCATAGGTTGTCATAATACTTATCAGAAAAATTTTAAAAATTATAGACTTGAAAAAATAATTCTACAGGAGAGTAATGTATAATTCGCCCATTTGATAACCTTATCATTTCTAAGAAGATGCCAAGCTTGCATTGCCTTTGAAGGATGGTAGTTTCAACATTTAAAGCGCACTTAATTAACACATTCACGAATTAATAAATGTCGTATGTACTATCTGTCTTGCTGTCACTACGTAGAGCCTATAACTTAAAAGATACACGACTTAGATTTTTTTATATTTTTATGATAACTGTTATGATTTGGCCTATCCCGCGTTTCCAGCTTGACGTAGAGTTCTGAGACACGTTGTATAGCTTATACTGGAAAAATTACAAAACCAGTCAATTAAACAGAAAAGATTACGTACTTTCACAAGTATTTTCAAAATATGATCCAATCCTTTCGCCGCTGTCAATCAAGGGCCTGTCAGCATTTAAATAAGCGCTGGGTCCATCCGGCAAAGTTTTGTGATCCAAATGGAAAAGCTGGCAGTTGTACTGCGATCCCTGTAGAAAAAATGCTTAACTTATACAAATACAATTATGAAAATTATTCTGATATTTTCATCCACAATTAATTGATCTTGCCTGTCATTGACTCAAGAATATTTTAAAACCCATATACAGGGTGTTTCAGTTTATTGTTGCATAACTTTCAGATTCGATAGAACTTTTAAAATTAATGCATAAAGTCTATATAAACATGGGTCGAAAAATGCGTGGCTTCTGAAATACAGGGTGTTTAAATTTACTTTCTAAAATAGTTTTTTTTAAATATTTCGAACAATATTTGATGTATAACAGTGAAAATTGGTATACAAGGGTTTTTTGGTACGACAAAACGAACCATGGGCATAGTTTTACTGTAGCTGCTAGAGGGCGCTCTCTACTGTACCTGTAGTGTATTAAAATGACCGAAAATTTTTCTTAGTGCAATTTTTTGCTTTTTGATTAAGAAAACTGATTCTTCGCACTTTTCAACATAAAAAAGCTCTCTTGTGAGTTTTCGTTATAGTTTAGATATTTCGATTTTTAAGGTTCAATGCATTTTTAATTATGGGAAAATAATATTTTTTTTTACATTTTCGATTTGGGCATTACAAGTAATTAAGATGATCGTTTAGATTGTATTGTTAAACACAGCAATAATTCCGAACTCCAAATAAACACAAAAAAACACAACAATATTATTTTTAACAAATTAAATTAATTACTTACAACTAAAATGCTATTGGATAGTTAGGACAAACATACAAAATCTAAAGTAGTTGCTCGAGATGTAAACCCAATTGTTCAATACACAATTCACATCTACGAATGATCGAACGTGGTATAGCATTATTAAATAAGGCCTTATTTCATCACATGCATTCCTGATTCTGTCTATTAGCATATCTCTTGTGGTTACGGGAGTCTGGTACACTTTTTCTTTCAGAAATCCCCACACAAAGAAATCTAATGGATTTAGGTCAGGGGATCGTGGAGGCCAGTCGACTGGTCCTCCACGGCCGATCCATCTTTCTGGATAATTTTCGTCCAGCCAGTTTCTAACTATTCTCGAATAATGAGCTGGACAACCATCAAGCTGGAACCAGGCCAATCTTCTTGAATCTAACATAACATCATCCCACATATTTGCATGTTCAGCCTTTAAAAATTCCAAGAAGGTTGCAGCATTTAACCTTGCAGGCAAAAGGAAGGGTCCAAATAGTCGATTACGGTAGATACCAATCCACACGTTCACATTAAATTCATGCTGAACATTTCTTTCCCGAACTGCATGCGGATTTTCATGCGACCAAATATGTTGATTATGAAAATTTACCACTCAACGTCTAGTGAAGCATGACTCATCCGCCCATAAAACGTTACTTAAAAACTCCCTATTATTATCAGTTCTATCAAGAATCCACTGACAAAATGTGATTCTTCGTTCTCCGTCCCCTGGCTGTAGTTCTTGCACAGGTTGCAAATGGTAAGGACGTCTATGGTCATTTCCAAGAACACGGTGAACATGGCTTGCTGAAATTCCCAAGGCACCAGAAACTCTCCTAACACTTGTGGTTGGATCTCTATCAAACTCACGCAGAATCATACGGGTAAATCTGCGCTGACGAACATTTATGTTTTGATCCCTTTGGAGATTTCCAAAACCATTTTCAATTATTTGGCGATGCACTCTTACAAATACTGAGCGTGTTGGATGTCGTCTGTTTGGAAATCTTCGTGCGTATTCTCTGGCTGCTTCTGCTGCGTTTCCATTTACAAAGCCATAAACAAAATGAATATCCGCTAACTCTTGATTGGAGAATAAAAATGGCATTTTTATAAAACAGGTAAAAGAAACTAAATTTCGTGCATTCACAATTGCAAAAAAACGTTTCAGGTTTCAACAGACTACAAAACTAACTGTCAACTAATTGACGTTTAACCTTATTCTGCTTTCAATTTCAAAATTATTTGCAGGCACAGCCTACTTCTAAAAATTATCGAGATACTGACTTTTTAACGTTATTTTATCATAAATAATTAAAAATGCATCGAACCTTTGGAAATCGAAATATCTCATAAACGGCTAACTGTAACGAAAATTCACAAGAGAGCTTTTTATGTTGAAAAGTGCGAAGAATCAGTTTTTTTATTAAAAAAGCAAAAAATTGCACTAAGAAAAAAATTTCGGTCATTTTAATACACTACAGGTACAGTAGAGAGCGCCCTCTAGCGGCTACAGTAAAACTATATTATATCGTTTTGTCGTACCAAAAAACCCTTGTATACCAATTTTCACTGTTATACATCAAATATTGTTCGAAATAAAAAAAAAACTATTTTAGAAAGTAAATTTAAACACCCTGTATTTCGGAAGCCACGCATTTTTCGACCCATGTTTATATAGATTTTATGCATTAATTTTAAAACTTCTATCGAATCTTAAAGTTATGCAACAATAAACTGAAACACCCTGTATATAGAAGTAAAAGTTTGGCCATTTCGGTGGCATTTTTTTACCGTAGACACAATGAAAAATGTACATTTTAGATGGCCCTATCTGATAAAAGTGCGATTTGAAACGCTAAATGTGTCATTCTGGACAGCATCGTTAATCTGACAATCTGAAATAGCCAGCGTTTGCAATTCTTTGGTGAGAGTTACTTTATCATTGTTTATTATTACTTACGGTAGGTGGTCCCCTGTACAAGAAAGATCTGCAAAGGAATTCATTCTCGATCTCGCAGGCCAGTTTGCAAGCAGATTCACTATTCACTTGCAGCTCCTTATCTGTGTAGTAGTGAAGACCAGCATACTGAGCCACTTTGTCTTCTGCGACACCGACACGAGGAGCTTGGAAGACTCGGTTCCCTATTCACAAAGGACATAATAGAGTATACAGACGATTACTAATGACTACGAGAATTTTGTTTGGTTTGAATATAAGGGAATAAAAATTCAATTTTTAGCAGATAGTCGAATAACAATCAAGAAACAGTACAATGTATTAACACATAGTCATAAGAGGTAGATAAGTCAAAAGCTATACAGGGTGTCCCACGTAGAACTACAGGAAATATGAAAAGTGAGGGTCAAGCTATAACTGTTATGAGGGACACCCTGTATAATATTTGTAGGGTTTGTGGTTGAATAACCAAACATTATACCAAAAAAGGTGAAAGTCGCCCCTATTCGTCTAGAACTGGCATTTTCTTCTTCGTTGTATTTCTAAAAATAATGACAATTAGAAATACAAAATCCATTTCTGGCTCATTTTACCGGCGATATGAATTGCTTTCCAAAAAGACCACACCAAACTTACTTTCTGAACGACTCAAGCTAGCAAGATAAAATTTGGAATAATGAAATTGATGCATAGGATACTATTTTTAACCTAAAAGTAAAACTTGCTAATTTGGCTGGGCGCCAACATGAAACGTTTTTTAAATGTAATTGTGGTCTCGTGATACCTCGTTTTGATATGTGCCTTTCAACCCTAGAATTCAAATTTGATGTCTTCAAAAACGCCGGCCTGACGTCGAAGTTGAGCTTTTTTTGAATATTAGAGCTCAAAAACTAATCTCCAAAAAATGACATTTTAACAATTTTTTTAAAATATTGGTTCGTGAGTAGCAACTTTGACATTTGCCAATTCTCCATTTCCAAAGACAATAAATTTATGCTCTAAGGTTGTATAGTACTGATAAGGGAAACCAAGATCCACCTTTTTAAGATATGTTAATTTCATCGCCCCAAATTTGACTTTTATAAATTGATCTGTTCAAAAAATAAGGGGCAGACCTTTCTGGAAAGCAACCTACGTTTCATTCAATTCTGGGTTGCATTTCGTATTGGGAAACCTTGAACGAAAAAGTTTGCCTAATTATTTTATAAAGAAGATGAACCATTTATAAAGGTTTAAAGTTACCTTTGCAGGCTTGGTTGCCCTTCAGACAAAGATTTTCAAAGTAGTCTACTCCTTGGGCATCGACGAACTGTACAAACTGTCCTGCTCTTCTGTCTGTATCGCTCAACTGGCATTGTAATGTCACGTAGTTATATTCAGCTGATCTACATGTGAACCGGTGCTGCAAAAAAAAAGATGTCAAGAAGGCTAAGTTTGAGGTTCGTAATCGTAATTAGTATGTTGGTATATATATTTTTGACGGTTCCAAAAATTAGTACCGTGCCAGTTTTTAATGAAATGAATACTCGGTGGTAGGAGGTAGCCCAGGAAAAAAATCATGTTCTTTATAGCCATAACAGGCAGAAAGAGCAAAAAGTAAGGTCTTGTTGAAAAAACTTAAAAGTGGCAATATCTCGAAAACTAGGAAATTATTACTAAGATAATGTTATCTGATTGATCAGAATCCAATCTACCTCTTGTATAAGTTTGGCGTATCATTTCTGGGACTCCGTTTCTCATAAGGTGTGATCTCATTCACCAAAATTCTAAATTTCATGAAAAATGGTGAATGCATATATACTAAGTGACATATAAATCCGAACACCCAGTTTAAATGGTTTTATTTTCATAAAAGTTGGTGAATGTATTTATCTTACTGTAAATAACAAGTGAAAAAATTTTCAGCTTTATCAGTTGGACATTCCGGTTTTTATACTGCTTTTTTTTTAATTCACTAACGCAAAGAAGTGTAAACACTGTGGTTAGGTGTTGTCAGGCATGGCTTCTAGAAGGCCGTACGCAAAGAGCAAGGGGCACTGGACGCCGCCGTAGAACAACAGACCGTGAAGATCGCCGCCTAAGATTATTGGCCTTAAGGGACCGTTTCTCCACTACCGGGTCCATTGCAAATGAATGGTTTGCAGAACACGGAAGACCTATTGGCATGCGAAGTGTTTACCGACGAATGAGAAGTTTTGGCTTGTTTTCATACCGGCCACACTGGGTCCTCCCTTTAACTCGAGAACACCGACGTAATCGCCTTGAGTGGTGCAGACAACGGTCACTCTGGGATCAGGAATGGAACAGTATTGTCTTTAGTGACGAGTCTCGATTTTGTTTAGGTGCCAGGGTTAGAAGGCGACGTGGTGAAAGGAGGAATCCACAGTTTTTTGTTGAAAGACATGTTCATCACACTGTTGGAGTTATGGTTTGGGGTGCTATAGCTTATGGTTCCAGGTCACCTTTAATCTTCATCAAAGGTAACATGAACGCGCAGCGTTATATCCACGAAGTTCTAGAACCCCATCTTTTACCCTATCTTGACACCCTGGCAGATCCAACTTTCCAACAAGATAATGCCCGACCACATGTTGCAAGAGTCACAATAGACTTCTTTAAACATAATGATGTCACATTGTTACCATGGCCACCAAGATCTCCCGACTTATCCCCAATTGAGCACGTGTGGGATCTGATGGGTAGGAGATTGCTCAATTTGCAACGTCCTCCTCAGACTCTAGAAGCACTTCGAGAGGAGTTGGTGGTTGCCTGGAATGAGATACCACAGGAGGACATTGACCACCTGATCAGAAGCATGCCTAAGCGCGTTGGAGAATGCGTAGCACATCAGGGTGCATCCACACATTATTAAAGGTCAAAGGGCTTTAAAGTAGTGCAATCATTTTAAAATTTTTATCATTTACTTATTATGCTTCATTAAGTACTTATACAAAATTTTATTAAAATAAAACCATTTAAACTGAGTGTTCGGATTTATATGTCAGTTAGTATATTTTGTTCAGCTCACAAATTCCTATAAAATTCTTGATTCATGGTTTTCGCTGAAAAAATTCTATAATACTCCGCAACAAAAAATAAATACTATTTAAAAACTGATTAAAGAACAAAGACGGAATTTTGCAAGTAATGATGGATTTTCACGTTTGAACTCATGACGTCATACTGGATATAGCTTAGATTTTTATATTCAAAAGTCGCGAAGACGGATTTCAAAAAGCGAAGTGTTGAGGCTGATATGAAAAAATTTAATATATCTTGATGATCTGATTTTTGAACTGTCTAAAGGAAAAATCTGCTGGCAGATTGTTTAATGATATCTTAAGAGCAGAGGAATGCTCCAACCGACGAGTTCTCTATGGAGGATGATCTATCGGCTTATCACAAAATAACTGAGCCATCAAAAAATAATGAAGTTGGTAATACTGTTAGAAATAGCGTGAACATCAAATGGCACATGACTCATAAGGTTAACATCCTCAGAAGGCAGTAATCTTTCTCGATATTCGTCTACATATACCTTTTTGCTAATTGATCTCTATCGGTTAATAGACTGACTGATGGAAATTCCATTCAAGTTATAACTAGAAAATACGCTAATGTATAACACTCGCTTGATGGCATCCAAGACATCTACGTATAAAAAATCTATTTCTTTACATCGGTGACTCGGCATAAGCTCTACTTATTCAAAATACAAATAGGGTTAGATTGACGGGTTTCGGTTCTTTAAATTCAATTAATGGACCCGCTTCAGAAAACGGCCAAAATAATCAATAAAGGTAAACAATAGATCGCAAAAACGGAGATTGGAAGACGATATAGCGAAAAAGTCTTATAGCTGTAATAGAGTAGATGCCACACACAGCTTAAATAGTACAGTTGATTTGTATTAGCGCCGAGAAATGAAAAAGCTGCTAAAGAATTTTTAATTAGACGGCTGATTTCGGTGAAATCGGCAAGTACATGCACAAGCTAAATTACAATGCTTATTTTTTGGATGTGATTTTAGGCTTTCTAACCTTTTTGTTCTCTAGGAATGGAGAACAAACAGATCGTTGTAAATAAGATGCTAACAGAGAATGAACCTTAGAAGTGATTAGAAAAAAAATACAGGGGGTCCAAGGTCAGGATACCGGGAACGGCAGAGTTACCGCATTGCTGAATAACAAAAAAAGTCGGACAATTAGAAGAAATTTAATATGAATCTTACAATCCAGATACTTCGATTTCGATAAGTTTTTCTCTTGTTATTTGCTTAGAATATGAGTCGAAGTGCGTCTATTTTATCGAAGAAACGTTAAAGAATACAGTTCCTCACAAATCGCTAGAACCACTCCCACTGTGTATCAGATATTCTCGTTTTCCATTTCTAGAAGAGCGTTAGGTTGATATAGCCCCCGGAAATTCCACTAGACGTATCACCACATCACCGCGATAGTTTGAATGGCTGGAAGGGAGAAGAGGTACTGGGGCCCAATGAGGCCTAAATGTCAATACTTAATACAGGTCATTGTGTCCCATGGTGCAAAGACCACAAAGTTTATTCCACAAATGTGCAATATCTAAGAAAACCGCCAGGTTAACTATGTTTATTCTCTACTCTCTGCAGTATAATACTGGGTGCGCCATCTATTACTTTTTTTTTACCTATAAGTTTATATGTTACCATGTGAGTCAAAAGTGGTATGCATAAATGAACTGTCAAAGCTATGCCATTTATAGTCATGGATTCGTTTACAACAAAACAACGCATTTCGGTTATCCAAACTTATTACGAAAAGGGTCGAATTATAAAAAATACTTTTCGCAAACTTCGCACTAGTTTTGGCCGACATGGACGCCCTACAGAGCCTGGAATTCGTTGTATTGTTAATCGTTTTGAGGAAACTGGTTCAGCTGAAGATCGTAGACCATACCAACATGCTCGTCCAGCTCGTACTCGTGAAAACATAGCCGCAGTGAGTGAAAGTGTGCGAGAAGATCGAACCACCTCGACTAGGCACCGTTCGCGACAATTGGGAATTAGTGAGACCACTTTACGCCAGATTTTACACATTGATTTACATCTCCATCCATACAAAAGCTAACTAACATAAGAATTGAAGCCGACAGATCATCAACAGCGGCGTGTTTTTGTTAATTGGATGCTGGAAAGAGAAGACGGATTTTCGGCCAAGGTGCTCTTTTCTGATGAGGCTCATTTTCACCTCAATGGATACGTAAATTAGCAAAATTGCAGATTCTGGGGGGCTGAAAATCCACACCAATATCATGAACAACCTCTCCATCCTGAAAAAGTGACTGTTTGGTGCGGATTATGGGCTGGTGGCAACGTTGGACGATTGTTCTTTGAAGATGCCGAAGAAAAGGCCATTACCGTCAACGGGGAACGTTATCGCGGCATATTAACAGACTTTTTGTGGCCAAAATTGGATCGTATTGGTGCCGAAGATCTTTGGTTTCATCAAGACGGAGCAACGGCTCACACATCTCGCCAAACAATCGCCTTATTGCACACGAAATTTCAAGACCGCATAAATGGCATAAACCAACCTTCATTTATTAATAAAAAATACGATTTCACCTCGTAAAAACCGTGTTGATTTTTCAAATAGGAGAAAAGTAATAGATGACGCACCCTGTATATTATGGTCTCCATAATGGCAGTATTCCGATTCATGCACGGTCTGTGAAAACAGAAAGTTCTCCAATTTTAAGCTTGAAGATCACTTCAAAATAAAGTAATCTTGAAGTATGTACTCTTCGGGATCTTGTGGATGAAGGTTTTAGCTTTACTTCAAATATATGGCAACCTTAAAAATGGTGATTTTTAACCGTGTTTTCAAGCATTGAAAATGACAGTTCTTAGGGGTTTTAGACATTAAATGGCTTGTAGTGCGAAAACGGCCACGTTAAGAGAGAAGTTAGGATCTTTTTTGTTCAGAATGATCCAAGAAATCAGAATTACATGTTCGGAACGAAGAAGAAAACGTTTTTGTAACTTGTTTAAACAGACTCTGTTAAAATTTAAATGTATCATGATTCAGCTCATTGTATATGAGGCATTTACGAGAGGCAATGTGAGAGTATCAGCAAAACGAATATCTCTTGTAAGAACACGAGTATTACTATTATTAGGTATCCGTTTTCCCTTCAAAAACGGAGGAATGTCTGTGAGTGAAAGGCTTATTAGTACCCAGTGTAACTTATGTAGGTCTTTTACTCTCAGCCATTCCGTGACTCTTAAATAGGGGCTGATATGATCAAACTGATTGAACTTCTTGGGGACGCATGAAAAAAGTGTAGTCTATAAATAGAACATCATTAAGTATCACAATAAGTAATTTTAGACATAAGCAGAGATTCGCACGCAATTGTTTT